AGTTTCCACTTGCCAAGATAATACTCTCGCATACTAAACACAAGAACACATTGAATCCCAAAACTACGAAGTAACCGGAAAACTCATATATTGTGTACCATACCCATTAGTGGAGAATAACTGGTACTACCACTTGGCGCGTCACTATATTTACGAAGCCAGCAAACTCAGCCATAGTATTGCGATGGACAAAAAATCGACGGACCTGATACAAAAGTGTATTGGTTGAAGCTGCCGGATCCAAAGTAGCATGTAAGAACAAGCGGATAAAAAAAAGACATACCAAAATAGACAGAGGTGCATGTGAGGGGAAACAATTTGAAGAGAAAGGCTAGTCAAAATGACTTAGTTGTAAAAGACGTCACAGACTGAACGCATCTGCACCACTGTGGTCGATTTCCAGCCATATCACCAAGAGTCTGCAACAGTTGATTCCTATGGTCACGGGGACGTGAACCGGTCTGTCTCCCTACGTGGCTAAGACCGACAGTCAGACACCTCGTGAACCGGTCAGGTTGTGGTCTGACTACCGTCAGTCTTCTCCCAGCGTACTCGTAATTCACCTTACATCACACATTGTGGTAGTCGGTGGCTGGTCATGTGCAGCACATGTCCAAACCACCTGAGTCGATGAAAGTTCACAAGTTGATCAAGTGACTTGCCATCCTTGTATGGTTATGGTACCCTTCTCCTAACCTCCACATTCTTCTTCATATGTGATGGAGAATAGACTATCTCATGAGATGTCTGTGTTCTCAAACCTGTAATCTCTTCACATCCACCTTCACCGGCCATATCCGCCAGCGTTATAACAGGAAGGAAGGAAGGTAGGAACTGCAGTACAGCATAGTCGTCCGTTGACGGGTAGTCAGGTTTCTTTTTAGTGCGATAGGTGATGCAAGTTTGTAAATAGTAAACGGACCTTCTGTATCTGAGTTGATATTTCGTCAGCAACCAACCCATTCGACCTGGTGTAACTTCTTAATTGAATGAAGTGGTCATTCCATCCTACCACTTCACTGGCTATCCTTCAACTGTGAGTGGTTGCATATCATTCCTGAAGTTATCGTCTTACATTTGATAGATGTTGAGGGCATGTCGATCCTGCTCAGATTTCTGCTCAACTCGTTCAAAAGATTCTGAATTTTATCAGCAAGTGGTAGAATGTCTGCAAACCCCAGGTCAACCAGATACTTTCTGGGGAGTAAGCCAATCTCTGCGCAGTTGGAATTACTTAGTTATGTCTATTGCTATATATGTAAGGAAATAAAACATGAACGGTGATAGCCGATATCACTGTAGGAGACCGCTAGTTTTTGTCACCTCAGGTGATAACTCCTCATAAGCCGTTTCATGTTTGAGCACAGCTTTGATTGGCGTTACATACTTGCTTGACACTCCTCTTACAGTAAGACTGACACGGTCGACAGTATCCAAGACTGCCTTCAGACCGAAAAATATGGCAAGTGTCGGCTGATAAGTAGGTGTGTTCCAAAACGTATTGAAGGGTGAATATCTGATGGATGCACTCTTACCCGAGATATGAAGCGTGATTGGTTCTCCCGAGTTTGTTGTTCTCGTTTTCCATTTAGTTGTCGGATGACTATAAACCTGAGAATTTTGGACACGATATCAGTTAGACTAAATTTCCTATGGTTGTCATAGGAAGACTTCTTCCTTTCTTACTGACCGGAATGATCAGTGAAGTACACCATTTTGAAGGGAATACATATGATTCCTAAGTGCTACATAATATCTCCGTTGTTCTACTCGGTATTTTCCTACCTCCATCCTTAAAATATGGTGGTCGGCCGTCAGGTTCTTCTGCTTTGCATCATCTCAGGTTCGAAGTACCTTTCCCAATTTCGGGGACAGCTGGAGGACAGGTATCTACGTCCCAATCAGGTTTGGGCTGGATGCTGGGCATCTGCAGTGTGGCTGTAGGCCTTGTGAACTGTTTTTGAGGTGTTCCACCCAAGGTTCTAGCCTTCTGTCCTGAAAGGTTATCAGCGTCGCATCCTTCCCAACGATGGTCTTAGTTACCATTGTCTTTACGGTATCCCTAATATGCTTAAGTAATTCCCGAGTACTACTACCTTATGTTGGTGCCTTCTGTCTCTCACTTTCACAGGGCAGTGTCAACTGACCGCACGCTTCCAGGAGTATAAAAGATCCAATCAACCTTTACTTACCTGCCTCGTCACACAATACTGGCCGAAGGTCCAGGCTGGGAAAAGGCCCGAGGCGACCAGACCAAAACATGGCACCAATGTATGAAGTCTGACTGTTAGTTTGAGCCATGTGAAGCGGTGCAGACTAGCCGGTTGGGGTCCGCGGGACAAGAAAAAGTAGTGGGAGACTTTAGGTGATATGGCTCTGAACGGATGTCAGTGGTGTAGATGTATACACGCATTATCATTTTAACGGTTTACCGAGTCTCACCATTTTCTCATTCTTTCTCTCTCTCTTTGGGTACTTAATATTTCTTTTGACCGAGTTTTCTTATCTTCATTCTCCACCTCACTGCCTTTTTACTTGATGTACTGATATGAGCTGTGTCAACTCGAACCGTTATGCAATAATGCCTGGTCCCATGTTGATTTGCATGGAAGGATGGATACCCTGCTCACCTTTGTATCCTCATATGCCTTCACTTCCTGATGCCAATATTAAACCCCTTTCAACTTTTTCTCCCTCTTCTTCCACGTCCACTAGCGATGATCTAAGCCATCAAAGCACCATTCTTAGTCTTTTAAGACCCCTACGTCGGTCTCACACTAGGTTCTTCAATGTCAAAATTCCCAAAGTTCTAGAATCTCGAATCATGAATGTATGCTGTTTGTGAGATACACATACAGGACACAATTGTCGTTATTCACTTGATATCATTTGGCTAACGCCTAGAATCTCCGAAATTCACTTTGCGAGCGCTTTGAGATTCAATTGTGTAAGCACTCCAGAAAGTTATAGGGCGGAGAGCGCAGTCAAGGGTACCAGTCAAGAACTGTTTTTTCGTTGTCTTGGCTCTGTTGTTATTGGATCTGTAAAAAGTTGAAAATATCATAAGGTTAGTCTATGCTTATTCGTAACTTCCGCCTTAGTGCCCAATTACTTGAAGTTCAGATAATGCTCCGGATGACTTTTATTCAGAGCTGTCACTTTTGCTACAGTAAGCAAAACGTTCAGATATAGTCGTAATAGCAGGCAACTATAACCATCAAGTAAGAAAATGGAGCTAATGGAAAGGTCATCCTGGAGGTAATTATTATAACTCATGACCAAGAACTGGAAATGGCAATCACCTGTTGCAAGTTTGCTCCGACAATCACTTGTTTCTACCCAGCACTAAAATAAGCATGAGTAAAGATATTGGTGTCAACTGACATCAGACGATGCACACATCAGTCGTATCGATATAAGTCATTGTTGGAGGAGATCGGTGAAGTATTGCCACTTTTCGCAACACCAGCCTAGACTCCAATCACGCGTACGCCACATGTATGTCTTCGTCCTACTGGTAACCGAAAACACAGTAGTAAAGCCTATGTGATTGATTGGAGAATGAGGAGGTAAAGTGCATAGTTAGGATGGAGATACCAAAGTATATATTTGGACTATACTCCAACTCTTCATGATAAAGCCTGACGTAATATTCAGTCTGCTGTAAAAACAGCGGTAGCCATTTGGTTACCCACATGTAAAGGTTAACGAAAGCCAGTCGATTTTGTCACCATAACCTGAAATCATTGATATGCGTGGTCTTTCTATGGGTTTGTATGTTCCAATGTTGCTTCACTTTTATCCTATTCGCTCCGTCTCCCGAAAATTTTGATTTCATGCGTGTATACATTATATATACGTACATGGCATGTTTCAACCACCTAACAAGTGGATCGAAGCCGCAGTGCCTTTAAATTTATGTCAAATCCAACTTGTCACTATTTGTAGTTTTAATACTAAAGGTCATATAACGAAAATACAGCATAATACTTATTCATTTTATAGCGTGTATTTTTACTTGTGTAATCCTGGCGTAGCATATTACAACAAACGACAAAATGAAAAAATACTTTGTTATTCCTCAACGTTTCGATCTTGCTTGGGAGATCCTTTTCAAGATTATGAATCTGATATTAAGTTCTCAGGTTAATATTCAAGTTTTGGTACAGAAGGTGACCTGTATACCCATCAAACTACATCGTGATATGGAACAAAGATCTATATAATGTTGTAGTTGAGTGAATTCGCAAACCGGTCAGAGGGCCTTTCCTTCAGTTGTACAAGTAAGGTGAAACAAAAATACTTGTAAGAAATATGAATTGAGAATTAATGACACTTTCGGGGCTAAATCTACTGTGTAGTCATGAGAAAGGCTTAGAAATCATTGATCAATGATGGTTTTTAGGTTCTTTTCAGCAACTCAGAATGATTTAAACACTGGAAGGCTCATTGAATCCCTTAAGATGTAGGTCATCAGCGGTATACTGACACTACCTTAGTATAGTGCATTGCATTATAATGGGTTTGGTTTTTCATTCATTCACTCCAGTGTCTGAATAGTTGGTTCTCAACCAATCAGGTAAATTTGTCTATAGATTGTTTCTTTCGAAGTTCTATCACCACTCATACCTAGACTTCTTACCACTATTTTTATTACTATCATTGCTATTATGGCAAATATGTTAACGGTAATTCGTAATGTTGAACCTTCCCTCAGTTATTTTGAACTATAGAGATTAATAAGTCAAGTATTCCGTCCAGTTGTCATCAGTGTTGTTATTAAAATAATGATTGTCTGGTGGGTTCAATTTAGTGTATTCTCTTTTTACTTGCTGAATCACTGTTTAACATTTTCTTTTCCAGATTATTACGTTGTGTAAGTAGACTATCGTCAACGAAACTTGACACACACTTTTATTTGCATCGCAACGAATAGTAAGCGCACGTGTAACCCAGATAAAAGGATACTATCAGTTGGATATCAGTATTGACTAATAGTCATGGGTAAGTCTAGTTTATCCATCTTATTTTTGTGCTAGCTCATAGTGAAGTTAAATTTCTTACTCTTCACACACTATTCTAAGCTGGATTATATTGTGCTGGATGACCAAAAAGAAAAAAACATATTCATCTTCATTTCTTATCTGCTTCATGTGGCAGATAAACGTGATTTTACTTTTCCCCTCTCTAAATTAACTAGACATGAAACTAATCATCTGAAAAACTGATAAATAGCCTATATTTCCGACAATTTCATTTGCTATTTGTCATTTAGAGTCCCTTCCTCCTATCTATGTTCGTAATTGTCACCCATACGGCATATAATGCCTTTTTTCCAGCTTAATTAGTTATCATTATTGGTGTAGATGAAATATTTCATGGAATTTCCAAATGATTGAAACAGAAGCGAATTGCAACATTCATTCTTACATTTGATGGATAGCTTGAAGTGAGTTGCTTAAGTAACAGATGAAAATTGTGAGTAGTCTAATCTAAGTTGTAAGGTGTATTAGACCATTTCATTGCATTCATCTTTTCTGTGTAAATGGCACAAGTTCATACACTAATCATACTTTATGTATGAGGATTTGGGGTACTTTCTATCTGCCTAGTCTGAAGTCGTTTGAGCAAAATTTGAATCCAGGACATTTTTGCTTTTCTATAATCCAGTGTATTTCAGGAAGTACAAATCATGTGCAGACCAAATTGCAACGCTTCGCATTATCATAGAACAGAGCATAGAATGGCAATCAGCTCTCTGCCTCAACTTCATCGACTTTGAGAAGGCCTTTGACAGCGTCGACCAAGAAGTAATTTGGAAACTGCTTCACTACTACGGAGTACCGCAAACCTTTATCCGCCTCATCCAACAACTATATGAAGATGCTACATGCCAAGTAATTCACAATGGGAAGTTCAGTGATGCTTTTGAAGTGAAGACAGACAGGAGTGAAACAAGGTTGCCTACTATCACCCATGATATTCTGATTGTGGTCGACTGGACTGGATCATGCAGCAAACAGTGAGGAGCGAGAAGAGGGGGATTCACTGGACGCGTAAAAGAACCTAGAAGACTTGGATTTCGCCAACGATGACTTGTGCCTGATGTCACATAAACTTGAAGATCTACAGGCGAAAACTGACAAGTTGACAGAAGAGGTGAGGCGAGGCAGCGAAGACGGGACTTCAAGTGAATATAGAGAAGACAGAGGTGATGAAGATACCTCACCACCACCACCAACAACAAACTCCAATCACCATGAACGGGAGAAACTGAAAGGAAGTAACCTCCTTCACTTATCTAGGAAGCACTGTTTCAACTACAGGCGGGACGGACGAGGATGTCAAAGTCAGCAGGATCGGAAAAGCAAGACAGGCGTTCATTAGCCTGAAGTCAGTGTGGAGATCTTCTGCACTGCACTCATCATGTGGAACAAGATACGGATTTTCAACACCAACGTCAAGTCAATGCTTCTGTGTGATGGTTGAGAGACTTGGCGCGTTACGAAAGGGATTTCCAATAAACTACAGACATTCATCAACAACTGCCTACACTGGCTCGCTACTGAAGATGAGATGGATTGCCAGAAAGAATAAGCAACAAGGAACTCTGGGAACGAACCAACCAAGAACCTATCAGTCAACAAATATGCAGGAGGAAGTGGAGATGGATTGGGCATGCACTGAGAAGGCCGACTGAGGACATCACGCGTCAGGCCAGTTACTCGAGTGGAATCCCCATGGGAAGCGACGAGTTGGACGTCCTATGTGAGGGTGACATGGAGGAGGTCGTGTGAGGAGGAAATGAGAGGTTGTGGGCTGTCGTGGAACCAGGTTGAAAAGATTTCAGAGAACAGAGTGTACTGGAGACGTGCTACTGAATCCCTATGTTCCACTAGGAACCCAAGGGACTAATAAAAATAATAATAATCCAGTGTATAAGTCAATGAGCCAAATGTGGTTCTGAATGTTTCTTCATCTAGGTAGTAGTTGTTTAAACGTATTGAAAATGATTTGCTGTAATTCTTTCCTTTTTTTCTTCCAACATGGCTGAAGTCACATGAATTCACATTTTGAATGACAATAGTAAAAGGAGACCTTGCATTCTGATTGCGGCAATAAAGATGATTGTAGGATTAGTCATGGTGGATTGGTTTTAAGTATACTTGTTGTCCAATGAGTCGAATATCACGTGTGCACCGATAGCGCCACTTGGCGTATAACAGACTAGCCTTTCATATCCGTTCATAAATCTCGTTGGAAAACAGTATATCAAGTCTGATGGGAATTCGCGAATGATAGAAATGGTCAACTCCCCTCGTATTCTAAAGATAATGAAGAGACTTCCTCATATCATGGTTCTCGATCATACTCAGGCAGACTCATACGCAAACTAATGCACGATTGGAATCTGACCGGCAATTCATCATCGATTCTCTCCCAAATTAAAGTTACACCCCGTCAACTCATTCTTCACTTCATCGACTGAGTGTGGACCATAACCACGAATAAATAATTTTACTGCAGTTCTTCCTCTTTTGTTTTTACCGTTTGACTGAATATGATACAACCAACTGCCGGCTAAAATATCTGCTTGAAAAGTATACTGTCCCGTGAGACTTTGTGCTTTCCCTGCATTAACCATACAGGATCTAGCCAGTGGATCCATACGTTGAACACTTATTACCAGCTGAACAGCCAAACTTTGTTATTCAGCTATGACAAAACGCTAATAATAATACACAAGGGTCCCGATTACCTGGGTTCTGAATATTCTTACTTGATATACACTTAGGCCTTTAAGAGCTTCGGTGTATAGTTTCGTGAGATCAGGAGTAGTAGTATTCACGATGACTGCGGAATAAGGATTTTTATAATCCATGATAGCCGTAACCTTGGTAACACCATAGATGATGGCAAGGAAAGGATACGAAGAGGGTTTCTACTAGTTAAGTGCGTACTGCATACTTTTGATAGCCTGCAGATGATTCATATTTCCCTACTTCCTATACTCTGAAAAATAGTTAGAAGTTTTACGACTCCAAGATTCACAGCTAACCCTCCGTTAAATCGTAACCTAACATCTTCATGTCTACCTCAGGTATTAAGAAACTTTCGAGCTGCACGTTTCCGACACCTATTCAGGCTCTGATACGTGCTCCAACTACGGCATGATTGTACTTCTCACTAGCACTCCAGAAGAGCAAAACTCCTACCTATTTCTATATCAGTATAATATATCTGTATACATCGTCAGCTGCATATTGATGCGCAGAAAGTGAAACGAAAACCAATGTATGTAATCCAGTCCTACAATAGGTCAGTTGTTACCCGCTGACTACAACACCAGGTGACGGATTCGAACCTCACAGGAGACATCAGTTCCGTCGAGGTTTCATATACGTCTTGCTAATGATTCCCAAACAAGCACGAAACCTAGGTCCCTGGCTTCCCGCCGATCGCACTGAACCAACTAACACTCTTAATTCGTTAGGCAAAAGTAGTTATTAGATTCATTAAAGATACTGGAATAAGAAAGACTAACCTTAGTGACAGCACAGGGGAGACGGATAAATCTGCGATCCATTCTCAAGGGAAATGACCGGAACGATGGATTGAACACTTTGAGGAACAGTTTAATTAATTTACAACTACTTTCCGATTGCCCACTATCCATTCGCAGTATGAATGAGAGTCTAAGAAACAGCCTTCAACTGACACAAACTGAAAAGACTGTAAGTAACCTGAAACGAGGAAGAACAACAGGTCTAGGTTGGATTGCACTAGGGATCTTAAAGGAAAGTGATTTTGGTCTATTGGTAAAACTGATTAAGTTGTTAGCTGACTTAAACAAGTCGAATTTGATCTCATCTCCTGGTCTCAATAGTTAATTATCATCGTTTTTAAGGAGGAAAGGAGATACTCTGGTGATAAACATGAAGAAGTCAGCCTGATGAACAGTGTCAAAGGTTCTGGATTCTATTATCATCTGGTGCATAACTGGAGTTTGGTAACAGTGAACACGTGAAAACCGGATAGGTTTCAAGCCCAGAGGTGAGTACATTGACATCACCCTCCGCAAGGTCTTGGAACACAAGCAAACACCCGCATCCTACACTCACCTCATTTCTTACCACAAAGGCAGCAATCACTCTGGTCAGTCGAGAAGTTCTACGACATTTTCTTTTACTGAGAGGCCGGTGGAGTAAGTAAATCAACCTTTCAAAGACTACATATTCGAACAGCCGTGGTGTGTCAATTCCTCGTCTGATGATAAGAAATGAAGTGGTTAGGCGCGTTGACCACTAGTTAGAAAGTTGGATCAGCCCTAGTGGGTCATTGGGCACGAAATTTCAGCACCGATGCAAATAACTTAGTTGGCTTTTACCAGCTTAATGCTATCTGTAGGGTCGACAAGATATTCGATAGCCTACAACATTTCGCCACCCTAATCTGTGACTTGAAAGGCCATGAGAAAACTTCAGGTGTTCTACCATCGATGACTTCGTAGATTAGGCTGCGTCGTGCTGCTACACTGTCAATAATGTTTATCAGAAATAGAGTTTAGGTCTTAAGAGCTAAACCAGCTGGAAAAGCTGTGAGCCTTCATTGACTCAACGAGCCGGGGCATGTGTTACCCATGTCGAGTCACCGCGTGTGCCCAAGCACGCTGTTACCTGGAGTAGATTTAGACTGAAAAAGTTGAAAGCAACCAGTTCATGGAGTCTGTGACTGTTTGTCTGAGCTGTATAGAGAAGGGTAGACTTCGCGGTCAAGTTCCAAATAACGACCGAAATCGATGTTTTCATGGTTTAGGTGAAATGGGCTAGAATCTCTGTCCATACCGCAGATGCATCCACTCTATCTCCATCTTAATTGTCGTATCATACCTTCCTAGTATTTCCCTATATTCTCTCCTTCTGATTTCTTAAATCTTTTGATTACACCATTTCGGGTCCTTTCGGTTTGGTGCCCTCCCATCTAGATGTTATGCGAGATGAGGTGATGTGGACTGTTACATGTGAAAGGCAGACGCAGTGTTCATGTTGGTTAGCTAATAGTCTAAGAACTTGAATGAAACTTTATATTGGCTTGGGATAAATGAAATGAAGAGGGACTGGAACACCAATGTACGGCGGTAATGTGTCGATACTCTACAAAGTGATGGAGTCAGTACACTTGAGTCACTACAATCGACTTTGAGCCATATTACCAGTAGTCTGCAACAGCTGATTGCTATCGCGTCGGTGACCTCGACCAGGTAGTTTACATCTCCCAACATGACTCAGACTAACAGTCAGAGACTTCATGGATTGGTGCTGCCTCTTCGTCTGGTCACCCTGAATCCTCTTCCAACCTAATCCAGCTTTCCCTAGGATGACACGTCAAGGAAAACGGTGACTCTGAATGTCGAAGCCACCTCAACCGATAAAGGTTCACAACCTTATCAATCGGCTTGCCAGCGTCTCATTTTCATTGTAACTTCAGTGACTTGGAACTGTTTTTCTAACATTTATATTGCTTGATACGTTGTAATTTCCAAAACCGTTTTCGGTTGTTTTGTTTTCTCCCCTATTTTCAGTCAAAACACGTAAATCCATGCCAATACGACCTACACCAGAAGGCGAGTCTTCGGACACAAGTGAAAAGCAGACATCCCAAAAACCGTCATTCAAGTCTTTAGTAATCAGTCGATTAGAGGAGAAAGAGGAACTACAACATTTGAATGATCGGTTTGCTCAGTATATCGAATACCTCCATAAAAGTATTTTTGGTAAAGAATTCCGTTGTCATATTGATCTTTTAACGGAATCATTGAAGGTGAGTGCTTTTCACTTTGTGAAAATTTAGTGGTAACAACATTGCTCACAAGGAGGCAGATATATCCAACTGACGAGTCCCAAATAGGACGAAACGTGCATACTGGATTCCACTGCTAGCCATTATACATTAATAATAATATGCCACCTTCGTTTACAATTTCTAAACACCTGTAGGAGCACAACTTGGGCACTGTGGTAAAGTATGATTTCATATTATATTGTTTGTTTGATATGGCACATAAAATAACATACAGTGTTATTTACTAGATGCCGTTTGGTGCAGAATTCGTTATTCATATTCAGTGTACGATATGGTGCTGTTTTTTCTCAATTTCTTTATCTAACTCCTTTTGCTTTATGCCTTCGTAATATTGTATTATTTTGTTTGGCGCATTTCTTGGTGCCCTTGTTGTACCGTGTTTTCGTCATAATAATAGTAATGATAATAATAAAGGGTAGTTTCGCCAGACTTCCTTAGATCATAAAGTGTAAGACTTTGTGGTTTATAGTGATTTGATGATAGCGAAGAGAAACCGAAGAACATCTGTGAAAAATCGGCCCAAGTTCCAAGTATGGGTAAGACTGTGTTTTCCAGATTTTTACCTTGTGTCTGACTTGAAAGGACAAGAATACTTACCGGCACTAAAACCTTGCCGTTTTTCCCCACATAAAGGCAGTATTTGACGAAGTAGGTCGAGGGTATTCTGATACTGTGCGATCGTCGAAAAAGCCCCTAACAATTATATTATACTAATGAGGACGCTGCACTCTAACCGCAGTGCTGTTCATCAAGGTTGCCTGTTATCATTTCTGTTGTAATTAGCTGTAGAATACACCAAAGAGTAAATACATCTGCACAATTGTGATCGACATTCAGCCATGTCACCAACTGTCAGTAACGGTTGGTTCCCGTGGTCTCGAGGATGTCAATCGAACAGTCTATCCTTCCCTACATGGCTTAGACCAACAATCAGAGGCTTCGTGGACTGGTCAGGTTTTGATTTGACCACCGTCGGTCTTGTTCTATTGCACTCGTAATTCAGCTCACATCGTACATTGAAGTAGGAGTGGGTCGTCATGTGCAAGACATACCCAGGCCACCTGAGTCGTGGAGGTTCAAAGTCTCATCGATGAACTCTTTTATTTTTCCTGGTACCCTTTACCTAACATCAATGTTACTGCATACTTCTTTGGGGCTGGTCTGCTGTTCCGAAGGCATAGATTTACCAGTCAAGATAGTTCTGACAGGCGAAGAGGCTGGCAAAGTGCAAGGTCTCCTAGATACCTTCAACACAACTATGTGTTTGCAGTCGTTTCGCTTTTGTCAAATGTGGTATCGACGTCTTAAAAACAATCTTCACCAAATACTAGCTTGAGGATAGAGAATAGGTGGGCGGAGTGGATTGACTGTTTCACGCATTTTGTAAGTTGTATCAAATTTCTGCTCAGATCAAGTGTTGTATCCACTTGGTAATTGCCAACTTGTAGTATCTCTGACGCCGGTGAGTTATCTCACTTCCTATGAAGGGTCAGGTGTACTGCTCAATAGCCTATCCTGATCCACTTTACGGTTGTGAAAAAGCCACTGAAAGTAGGTGTGAGGTCACAGGTTTTTAATTATAGCATTGGTCGCATATGTTTAGGCTACAAAGCGGGTAATAAACAAGGAAGATAGCTTAGTCTACGAGATGATGCATTTTTATTGGTCGAGATAGTTTGGAGTTTATAAAAATTAGTAGTCAGAATGACCGAAAACTGGCCGTCGTACAGGGACAACCAAGGGTAGTTCTGTCACACTGGTCTAGATCAGCTAGTAAGAGAGAACATAAATCTTTCTGTTGCAACTGCAATACAACCACCAGCTTGCTAATATCAAGTATAAGATCCCATGGCTTAAAGTCATTCAATATTTAAGAGGATTTCATGGATAAATACGCGAAAACTAAGTCACCGTCTATTTCGATGCGAAAGGTTAACCACAATGACGTCTTACTTACTTTAAATAAAATTTTTCACGAATGTGAATGCTTCTTTGAAACTTTACGTATTTGTTGTTTTGTATATTTCCTGGCAGCTTCATGAATAAAGTGCAGTGCTGTGTCAGTCTCCGTAGACCTCAGTGATATATCTAGTGACTAGTAGTAGTAGTAGTGTTCCGAATATGTGGGCTAGTGTTGGGATGGGAATCTGTTTATGTTATTTATAGTTGTTAGTTTTATATCTTCAATGTCTTCCTAGTTGTATGTAGCTGGAGAATTTAGTTACTTTAAATTTGAAGGTGACCATGTTTGACGTCAGTTCTTCCTTGCAAGGAAACTTTCTTAACTCCAAACACTTTTGTACAACATTCATACTTTTAGACTCAGTGAAAAATGGTTGCATATTTGAATTGCTCCTTGATACAGGAATTTTCATCAGAACTTTGTAGGTTGTCATACAATATTGCTGACGTATATAGTCATGGTACGATGCCTAATTTATCTAGAACTTGCTTATTATTATTATTATTATTATTATTATACACAGGACAAATTGAATGATTATGCAGAAGGTTTTGCAAACGAAGTTGAGTTATTGCGTCAAAATCTGGATAAAAGTTCATTGGAGTCAGCAAATGCTAAAATTCAATTGAAAACAGCTACATCAGAACTAGAGGAAACAGTTAAACAGCTAAAACGTTCAAAAGCTAAAGAGACTGATTTAAACTCTAAAGTTGCTTCTTTAACTAATCAGTTATCTAAATTACAAAGTGAATTGGCAGATTGTATAGTAAGTACATATTTAACAGATATGATTGACTTATTGTTGTTTAACTTATTTCCCATCTCACTACTACCTGGAATCCTTTACCCAAAAAACACAATGTAACATTATTTTTTTACTTCCTACTACTGAGAATAGTATAGTATTGTTTGTTCACAAATGATTCTGTAATTCTAATTCTTTGGTTTAAAAAGTAGATTTCCAGCCAATTGATTACCAGTTCAAATCCAACTTGATAGGAAGCGGCCTAAATCGAAATCAGTATTCTAAGACCATCAGTCAAAGATCTACAGGCAGAAACCAAAAAAATTGACAAAAGAGACAGGGCAGCGAAGACGGACTTCAATTGAATATGGAGAAGGCAGAGGTGATGAAGATATCCAAACAACAAGCATCAATCACCATCAACGGGAGAAACCTAAACGAAGTAGACTCGTTCACCCTACCTACCTACCTAGACGACAACATCGCTTCAACTACACACGGCACAGACACACATCAGGACGTCAAAGACAGCATCCGAAAAGTAAGCAAAACAGGCAATCATCAATCTGAAATCAGTGTGGAGATCCACTTCACTGCACTGCACTGTACTCGGCATTAACAACAAGATCTGGATTTTCAACACTAAATCAGTCAAGTCAATGCTTCTCTGTGATAGTTGAGAGACTTGACGCCTTACGAAAAGCATTTCCAACAAACTACAGACATTCATCAACACCAGCCGTCCACGCTCACTCGATACTGAAGATGAGATCAGATGGTGAGAATAATAAGAATAAGCAAGGTGGAACTCTGGCTGGATGGTTGGTAGGCAGGCAACGAACCAACCAAGTAAGAACCCATCACACAACAAATATGGAGAAGAAGAAAGTGGAGACGGACCGGGCATACAGTGAGAATACGGTTTGGGGACATCACGCGACAAGCGAGCCTGGGCCGTCTAGTGAAATCCGAATGGGAAACGACGAGTTGGGTGTTCGAGGGGATGGTGACATGGAGGAGATGTTGTGAGGAATAAATGAAAGCTTAGGGGTAGGAAGTCGTAGAGTCAGGTTGGAAAGACTGTAGAGAAGAGAGTTAAATGGTGACGTGCAACTGCAGCCGTATGTTCGACTGGGAACCCAAAATAATAGGTCATCAGCCGTCAAGGTAGAAGTTTTGGACTTCAACTTTGGTTTCAGGTTACTGTGAGCAGAAAAACGATTTTATCCTTCAGATATTTAATTAAAATTTCTACTGCTGTCTAACCGGGAAATTATGAATTATTCAACCGAAATTCCTTGGGAACACTAGATACTACGTCATCGTAAAGAATGTGATTCAGATGAACAACTCTTTGTTGTTTTGAAGACAAGTTACTAGTCTTGAAGCTGATAAGCCTGTCCAAGTAGAAATCGCGAATCTAGAGTATATTATTATTCTAGAATTCGATGATTGTCGTAAAAAATCTTGATATGAATGAAAACCATCAGGTTACTTCATCATCATTATCAACATAGGATCAAGCATTACTGCGTAACCGTCCAAGTTGCCACACCTCATATCAGTACATCAAGTAGAAAGGTAGTGAGGGGAAGGATGAAGATAAGTGAATGCAGTCAAAAGAAATATAAAGTATGAGAAGAAAGGAAAGAGGAGTGACAAAATGGTGAGATTCGGTATAGCGTTGTTAAAATGAGGATAATGTGTGTATACATCTACGCCACTGACTTCGGTTCTGAGCCATATCACCTAGGGTCTCCAACCACTGGTTCCTCTTGTCCCGTGGACCCCAACCACCTAGTCTGCATCGTCCTACATGGCTTAAACCATACATTGGTGCCATGTTTTTGTCTGGCTACCTCGAGCCTTTTTCCAGCCTGGACCCGCCTCAGCCAACATTGTGTGACGAGGCGATCGGTGACTAGGTATACGTAGTACGTGTCCCAACCATCTCAGTCGATGAAGGTTCACAACCTCGTCGACTGACTTACCTCTTCTCCCTAAAACTCTACTCCTGACTTCTGCATTACTCACATGATGACACCATGGAATACGTCCTATACAACGAAGGCAACGGTGGTCAAACACCTGAAAACAGCCTTCTCAAGTCTTCCACCTTCAATGGCCATGTTTCACAGCCATACAGTAGAACAGAGCGGACTGCTGTTACTTAAAATAACTGAATTTCTTACTGTTGTGAAATTTTGCAGACTTTACAAAATTGTATTAAAAGTAAATAGTGAAGAGTGAATCAGTCTTTATTCAGCTTCTGAATACATCGATCAAATCATACTTGTTCATTGTCTATGTGTGTTTTGTACCATCAAAGTGCTAACTAATTTTGTACGATTGATAGGGACTTACAGTTTAACTCATTCGAAGTAAAAAACTCTTTTGAATAGGTACCAAGTTAAGCTGTGTGATAGGTGTCTACACAAAATTCCCCATGGTATGGTGATAGCCTTTAAGGAGTATCCACTTGTCTTGATCACCTCTTCCACTGTCAGACTGTTTGTCTGGATTGTAAATATCGGGTACGCAACGTTTCATCGAAGTATGGAACTTTGACCCAATGTGATCATGTAACTGTATGCTAGATCAGTTTACTTGGTTAGACCACATAGTGAAATAGCATTTTCTATTGCACAAAATTATGAGTAGAATTTTACCACTCATAATCATGTTGTATTGTGCTCGAAACTTCATCAAATAATATGTTCATGTGTTAAATCAAATAAACTAATTCAGCATGCTACGTTTCACTATAAGTAACTATACTGTGCAGCTGTGTGTCCTGGTTATACACCTCATGAACCGGTCAGGTTGTGGTCTGACTACCGTCAGTCTTCTCCCAGCGTACTCGTAATTCACCTTACATCATACATTGTGGTAGTCGGTGGCTGGTCATGTGCAACACATGTCCAAACCACCTGAGTCGATGAAAGTTCACAAGTTGATCAAGTGACTTGCCATCCTTGTATGGTTATGGTACCCTTCTCCTAACCTCCACATTCTTCTTCATATGTGATGGAGAATAGACTGTCTCATGAGATGTCTGTGTTCTCAAACCTGTAATCTCTTCACATCCACCTTCACCGGCCATATCCGCCAGCGTTATAACAGGAAGGAAGAGGAAGGAAGGAAGGTAGGAACTGCAGTACAGCATAGTCGTCCGTTGACGGGTAGTCAGGTTTCTTTTTAGTGCGATAGGTGATGCAAGTTTGTAAATAGTAAACGGACCTTCTGTATCTGAGTTGATATTTCGTCAGCAACTAACCCATTCGACCTGGTGTAACTTCCCAATTAAATGAAGTGGTCATTCCATCCTACCACTTCACTGGCTATCCTTCAACTGTGAGTGGTTGCATATCATTCCTGAAGTTATCGTCTAACATTTGATAGATGTTGAGGGCATGTCGATCCTGCTCAGATTTCTGCTCAACTCGTCATCTGTTGTAGGACAGTATTGTCAGTGTATTCCAGGTGAATTCGTACCCCACTTAGGATAGGTCAATCCCTGTGAGGTCATTAATAGGTTTGTAACGAATTTAAAGAGGAACAGTGACAGCTGCCACTGCTGTCGTCAGTTCACTCCCCGTCTGCCCTTACATAGCTGCTTGGTCTTTGTGTTATATATCTTTAGGTCTGTTGTTTACACTGTGATAACCTATAGCCTAATGATTTGCCTTTGACATTAGCATAAACCATTATTCAATAAGTATTGTCATTCAGGTAGAGGGATTTCGGTGTTGTTTTGTTTAAAACTAACTCTCCTAACAGAATTGTGTTAGCTGGGGATGACCATTGGAAACGCGAGAGCACTGGAGGTCAGTGCCCATTCGAGACTCTATGGTCGTCATATCAGGTAACGAACACTTTACCACTAAACCACTCCATATGAGTCCAATGGCCTACATTTTCATACTTTAAATTCGTGATATTGCTTGTCCGTCATCTAATGTTTTTAGCGAGTGTTTGTCTTCATACCTGACCTCGTTATTGACCTGTAGAGAATGACTTCTCACTATAACTCCGAAAATTTTTGTAACAAGCAAGTTATGTTATCATCTGATTGTGGTAACACCATATGGGGAATCGACAGGCTTTAAGTGGTTCTAATAATCAATCCATGATGAAAATTACTCTGAAACATCAGCTTAACACATTAGGTTCACAATCTTGAACACCATTTTAAGGGTTACTGTAGAAGTAATAATGGATAGTGGTTAGCAGTGGAATTCAGGATGCGCATTTTGTCCTGTTTGGGACCCGTCAGCCGGATGTACCTGCCTCACAGTGAGTGATATTGCTCCCACCTAGACTTGAACTTGGGACTGATTGCCACGATTTGATTTCCTTCTATCCATTACCTTTTTTTAATACTATAGTCCTTTATCCCTCTTTTATTATCTTCTTGATGTTCACCTCTAACCAAGTTTCCTAGAATAATAGGAGTAGTGATAAATTCTTGTGTGAATTAAGTTATTTTCTTCATCAAGTTTGACAAACTCCTATCCAAAGCTGATTAATTTCACATTAGTAAATATGAGTTGTTTTTTTCCCTTAGAGCGATTACTTGGTTAAATTGTTTCACCTCATTTTTCATTCTTGTTTATTTTCTTTTTTTGCTGTTGTGAAAGTAGCATTATAAAACAGATTATGATTCTTTAATGGAACAACAGAAAATGCTAAAATCTCAATTAGAAAATGAAACTCTATTGCATACTGATACCAAAAATAAACTGTTAACTGCTTTGAAACAGTTGGAGTTTAAGGATCAATTACTAGATAAGGTAAGTTTATTTCCTATGCTTATTTTAAATTTTCCGTTAAATAGTACTCACATTGAAGACAACTTATCGTTGTACGATATCGTAAGTCAGTGAATATCAAGTGGAGCTATGGCTCATTAGTTAGTTTATGGAGTTGACTTGTAACCAGTGAGTTACAAGTTTGAATCCTTCTCCTCTTGTCGTGGTTTGGGCAGTCAGGTGGTATTCTTAGTCCTAAAACAATTTTATTTTTTTTATTATTAGTCCCTTGGGTTCCTAGTGGAACATAGGGCTTCAGTAGCACGTCTCCAGTACACTCTGTTCTCTGAAATCTTTTCAACCTGGTTCCACCACAGCCCACAAGCTCTCATTTCTCCTCGCACGACCTCCTCCATGTCACCCTCACCTAGGACGTCCAACTCGTCGCTTCCCATGGGGATTCCACTCGAGTGCCTGGCCTGACGCGTGATGTCCTCAGTCGGCCTTCTCAGTGCATGGCCAATCCATCTACACTTCCTCCTTCTGCATATTTGTTGACTGATAGGTTCTTGGTTGGTTCGTTCCCAGAGCTCTTTGTTGCTTATTCTTTCTGGCAATCCATCTGATCTTCAGTAGCGAGCCAGTGTAGGCGGCAGTTGTTGATGAATGTCTGTAGTTTATTGGAAATCCCTTTCGTGACGCGCCAAGTCTCTCAACCATCACAGAAGCACTGACTTGACTGACTTAGTGTTGAAAATCCAGATCTTGTTCCGCATGCTGAGTACAGTGCAGAAGATCTCCACACTGGTTTCAGGCTAATGAACGCCTGTCTTGCTTTTCCGATCCTGCCTGACTTTGACGTCCTCGTCCGTCCCGCCTGTAGTTGAAACAGTGCTTCCTAGATAAGTGAAGGAGTCCTAAAACAATAGGCATGGCTAATTGCCTGCTGCATGAATGTGCATAAAGTTGATGACTGTGTTTTGATTCGTGTGAATATCAGCAAAACGCATGACATTACCGCTTGGCTGTCTAATTTGCTGTATCTCATCATAGCAAATTAAGCAAGAAGACAAATGAGCAAATGAAGAAGAATGTAGTCAAAAGTGGTAGAAATTTGTGCGAAGATATTAATGAGGAATAAAATCGTAAAAAGATTCCATATGACAATTGCGATGAAGATAAAATGTGGTTAAATTTATGGCATAGTGATTGACCCTGAGTTATGTTACCTTAAGTCTTCATCCATCAATTTCTATTGTCACGTAGACGCTAACCGTTAAGTCTAGATTCCTCTACACGTCTTAGACCAGCCTTCAAAATCTTCATAGACATAAATCATGTCTAGGCCTTTTGCAGTCTGAACCTACTTCAGCTAGCATTGTGGGACGGTGAAGACGGTAGTTAGGTATGTACAACACATGTCGCAGCCGTCTGAACTATTGAAAGTTCACAATAGCAAATGATTTTCTTATTCTGCCCAAAAAATTACATCTGGCTTCTAGATTGCTAACCTGGTTACATCATAACACACGGCCTGCACTAAAAACTCAACGTTAGTCAAATACTGGAAGGCTCCTCACGTACTCTACCTGTGATGACCATATAATGGAACACAATTAACTACATTGTCATGTATTTTGCTCTTGACAGACACTCGAATATCATGACAGCACCATCAATGGCGTAAGTGGGCAAAACCCAATCCGTGCAAAGATTTCGTCGGCCACTGACGTACTAGGTCTAATCTGACTTCCCAGGTAAGTGAAGTGAACACACAGTCCCTTCACTCTTTTGCTAAGCATTTCACCAGCGAAGACCAGCTATGGAGAAGGAAGTTGTGTCTGTGTAGTGACAGGCTCATCTTAAACATTCTCAAGTTGCCACAATAGGTGCTGAGCAGAATCTACGTCCGTTTGGTGTGTTCACCTAACATTACTGTATCATCTGCGTGCTGTAGATAAGATCAATTTCTGTAGTTAGACGACGATTGGCGGACTCAAAAGAGTGCGTGTATGATAAAGTTGAATGGCAGTTGAGAGAGTGGGCAACCTTGATGGACGTCACTCAATGTACACAACTCCCCTGAAACCTTATTGTAGGGGTCCTAAAATGCCCACAGCTTTTCTAGTACTGATAATACTTCCCAGACCAAAGTATATAGAGTGTTGTTTAAACCTAGAATCTATTAGTTGAAAATCGAACGCTCAAACCGCAGTAAAATACTTTCATGTTATAAAGAAAAGAAACAACTCAAGGTTGGCGTTGGTCCTGGGGCAATAAAAACAATTCGATGATTTGAAATCAACAAATCATCAATAAACAAAACTCCACAGCAGTTTCAGAATGCAACTTGACCTATCGAAACAGTCATACACTGACTATTTTTCTTTATTCAAGCATCAAATCGGAAGTATTTAGTAGCTATGCTTTCTACACTGTGGAGCGTACTTGATTATTCCCTCTATTTGGGTTTCCCTTACAACTTTTAGAACATCAACGTCATTTTCTTTCTCAAATAGAAGTTGTTTACTTTCCATCGTGAATTATTAGTAATGCGCCTATAAAACTCTGTGATTAGTTCTCCCGACATCCTTTCACTAGTGCATATAAATACAGCTCTGGGTGGTGACAGCAGAGTATCATTTTAATTAAGATCAACCTAGCTACAGGAGAGTAAATTTTCAACCAGTTCATTACTACCTTCGATTATTTTAGAGTTCTCATCCCATTTTTAATATGAGGGTTTTACCGGCATTAATATAAGAGTAAAACTTGGGCACTGTAGTCGATTGTAATTCCATTTAAGTTTATAGGGAACATTGTCGTTTGCTGGATAACAATGTTTCGGACACAACTTATTATCCATATTCATACCAGATAACTCCACAACTTTGAGACAGAGTTTATATAGTCCCAACCTTCTCTCTCCTTCTTTGTGATGACAAGGATAGTAGAATTTTCCATCTATTTGGGTCAGATACAGAATCATTTTATTACTGCATGTATTAGGTGTTGATTCGATAAACAAGGAACCGGTTATGAATCTCTCCCTCCACCTAACTAGTTAGTTTTTAACACTATCGCTCTCTATCCCACCCTACTCTGTGTGATTGTGTGTAGTTTCGTGCATCGTTATAGCGATCTCCTCTCTAGATTTCTTATCTTATTAAGATCTACTAATCTTGATTTATCTAAGTTTTGTGCTGTGTTATTCTAATCGACCCTGGTCGACTAGTTTGACCTATGTATTTCACCTCGTAATCATTGCAAGGGATTTAGCAAATAAGATTATTTTGTTTAATTGCATCGATAGGATGTTTTAACCTGCAAAGCTTGTTCCTAAGCGAGTTTGTTGGTTGAAATGCCACCTTAATCCCAGTTAGTCTTATTGAGAATTCTTCGTAATGCTTCTGAGGTGCCTTACTTGTATGGTAACACAGTAGAAGTTGTGGAGTTAGTTACCTGATATGTATATGGACAATAAATTGTGTCCGAAACGTTATGCGGCATGTTTTTTTAGCACACTCTATTTATATATCGTCAGCATGAAAATATATCTCTGCATCATTAATATTCAGACGTGTCTAAGCACACTGTATTTATATACTATCGGATGAAAAGTGACCTGTAACCCACACATTTCGCATAGATAAACACGCTGACCATCTCAGCTTGGTTTTAGAAAAATATATATATAGGAATATATCTAGTAATGATCCTTCTACAGGTGCACCTACGGAAACCTTGTTACGAAAATCACTTCATCCAAATAGCGACAAACAACTTCAACAACACCAATCCAACGACTATACTAAACCATTCAGTCGGTAGTAGCGACGGGTGGTGTACACAAAGGACAGGGATGTAATCAGCACAAGCTTATGACTTGGACTTACCAGGAATTCCTCATTCATGCGGAATAATTGCAAGCCCTGATCCCAGTCACGACGATGATGAAACAGTTTTCCGAACCCTTTCGGGCAAGGTTTCCAGACTCGCTGGCACCGTCCTTGTACCCCACGTGTGACCCTGGACATCTAAGAGCTTCTTTCTAATGTTTTGATACAATGTAATACACTCTGATCACAGTTAGGAATCGAAAGTTGAACATAGAATTATCAAATTTTAATTCATTTTTATTATTATTTGTCCCTTGGGTTCCTAATGGAACATAGGGCTTCAGTAGCACGTCTCCAGTGCACTCTGTTCTCTGCAAACTTCTGAACCTGGTTCCACGACAGCCCAGAAGCTTTCATTTCTTCCTCAAACGATCTCCTACATGTCACCCTCACCTCGAACGCCCAACTCGTCGCTTGCCATCTGGGTTCCACTCGAGTGCCTGGACTGGCGCGTGATGTCCCCAAATGGTCTTCTCAGTTCATGCCCAACCCGATCCATCTCCACTTCCTTCTTCTGCATATTTGTTGAGCGATAGGTTGTTGGTTTGTTCGTTGGCAGCCAGCAGCCAGAGTTCCTTGTTGCTTATTGTAATTATTCTGGCCATCTGAGCTTCATTAACGAGCCAGCTTAGGCAGTTGTTGATGAATGTCTGTAGTTTATTGGAAATGCTTTTCCTGACGCGCCAAGTTTCTGATCTTGGATCCGGATCTTGTTCTTGCTTTATGCTGAGAGCAGAAGATCTCTACACCGATTTCAGGTTGACGATCGCCTGTCTTGCTGCCTTTTCCGATCGTGGCTGCTTTGACGTCCTCGTCTTTGCCGCCTGTAGTTGAAACAGTGCTGCCTAGATAGGTGAAAGAGGCTCTTTCCTTTAAGTTTCTCCCATTGATTGTTATCGGAGCATGTTGTTGCTGTTGTTGTTGGTTGAGTATCTTCATCACCTCTGTCTTCTCTACGTTCACTTGAAGTGCCGTCTTCGCTGCCTCTTCTGTGAACTTGTTAGTTTTGCCTATAGATCTTCAGGTATGTGTGACATTGGACACAAGTCCTCGGCGAAATCCAAATCTTCTAGGTTTTTTTCTGCGGTTCAGCGTATCCCCTCTTCTCGTTCCTCACTGTTTGCTGCACAATCCAGTCCACTACAATCAGGAATATCATAGGTGATTTAATTCATTTAGTGGATTGAAATAGGTATGAAATCCGTTCACATTCAGTATAACAACAATGTCACTGCCAAATTGTGTATAATACAAACAAATGAAGCATAATGCGCCCGTAGCAACTGCATTTGCAAGTGGAGGTAATAACAGTGCAGGATTGAAACATTGTTTCCCCACAAATATACCATGGTGACTAAATGAAGCTGAATTTTTTTACAACTATTGAAAGCTCAGTAGAAAACATCACTCTTTGTTGTTAACATTATATAATTTAATTGTATCCTTGACATGCAATGGAATTAATGGTTTTGAGAAACTTTGGCACCAAGCTAGTATGATCCATTGTATATTGATACCTTCAACTTGTGCAATCACTGTTAATATTCACCGTGAACTAAGTGTATTTCCTAATATTATGTCGATGGTAGGCGAATAATAATAACAGGTTCTAGTTTGATACCTGAACATATTGCATTTACATTTTTGCAACCCCCTCATCTCCATTTGATACTTTATCAGCATTTCGCATCTTGTCTATGTGAAGAAGATTTCTACCCAATGGTGGTTTGGAAAACTTTTAATCGTTGTATTCTCCCAATTCACTTTTAACAGTTTTGTAGACTTTCTTTTCAACTCTTCTATTTAAAAACATTTCACTCCTTTCTTGGCCTCTGATGTTTACTGTGATCATATGCTGTTTTCAACTGATTAGAAAGAAACCATAAAATAAGCTAATTTTATTTATTCTACAAGGTTTTTTCTCTCCAAAAGTCTATTATGGAAACATTATGCATACAGACAGACAGACAGACAGACAGACAGACAGACAGACAGACAGATAGATAGATAGATAGAATCAATGTAGAACCTCGCACATAATGGTATCTGTTGAAGTTGCTACGCACTTCATCACTGTAATATACAAAGAGCAAGTGGATAGGGTTAGTGCTGATATTAATGTAGACGATAAAGGTGTATAAAAGGAAGGAATTTAACAATGAAGGTTAGTTTAAAGCATTCCAGCTTTAGTTTTGATGATGTATGCTGAAGTAAAAACAAAGTATAAATAAATAGTGTAAACTATATCGTTCGTTTTATGCATGAGCTTAAAACGAGAGAGAGAGATACATGCTGTAATGCGTTGTATCATTCGATATCCACGTTTTTCACTATGGGTCGTTTTTCTCTTGTACTCGTTACCTGTACATTTTGTTAACTATGTTATCTCGATTTTATATTTCGCGCTTTCAGCCTTCATTCCTTAGCTTTCGAAAAAATCTTTCAGTCATAGAAATACTACATGAAGATGAATGTGTTCGTATTGTAGCAGATATCATGTTGATATGTTATTGTTTGTATTATCTATTTATTATTATTTGTCCCTTGGGTTCGTAATGCAACATAGGGCTTCAGTAGCATGCCTCCATTTCACTCTGTTCTCTGAAATCTTTCTAACCTGACTCCATGACTCCCTGCCCAAAGGCTCTAATTTCTTCCTCACATGATCTATTACATGTCACCATCGCCTAGGACGCCCAAATCGTCGGTTTCCATCCGGGTTCCACTCGACGGCCTGGGCTGGCTTGTCATGTGCTGTCCCCAAACCGTCTTAGTGTATGCCCGATCCGTCCCGACTTTCTTGTCCTCCATATTTGCTGGATGATGGCTTCTTACTTGGTTGGTTCGTTGCCTGCCAGCCAGCCATCCAGAGTTCCTTCTTGCTTATTCTTATTATTCTGGCCATCTGATCTCATCTTCAGTATCAAGTGAGCGTGGACGGCTGGTGTTGATGAATGTCTGTAGTTTGTTGGAAATACTTTTCGTAAGGCGTGTAGTTGAAACTATGCTGTCGTCTACGTAGGTAGGTCAAAGAGTCTACTTCGTTTAGGTTTCTCCCGTTGATGGTGATTGATGCTTGTTGTTGATGTTGTTGTCTGGGTATCTTCATCACCTCAGCCTTCTCTATATTCAATTGAAGTCCTGTCTTCGCTGCCCTGTTTCTCCTATCAATTTTTGGGTTTATGCCAGTAGATGTTCGAGTTTATGCCACAAAAGAAAGTAGACACAAATCATCATCGTTGGCAAATCCAAATCTTCTAGGGTCACTTCATCGGTCAAACAGTGTATGCCCTACAGTGGAAAGCTGTTGAACCGAGCTGCACAATAATAGTATTAGCGAAAGGATAAAATTTATTCCTAGTGAGATAAATAAAATATTTCAGGTTGATGTTCATCATAGACTGACATCATTTAGAAACCTGGGAGCACTGGACAGCTGTTTCATCCTCCACAGTGCGCACCCATTACCCCATTGTGGATTGAACTCAGGATCTTCATTTTCCGCGGCCGATGCGTTACTATTAAGCCATTAGATCGGTATCCATGGAATGGTTACTCAACCATGACACTGGATTTTAGGTCGCGCTATTTCGTGAACTTAGATATGTAGGAAATGTGAATCACTGGATGCCGACCCATTGCATCAATGGTAGCGTGCTAACCGCAACGCCTGTGACCCTGGCGGTATAACGGGTGCGTATTGCTGACGAGTCGGGCATCAGAACGAAATAGTTGTCCAGTGCTCCTAGGTTTTCTACTGATATCAGTTCACGATAAATATCAACCTGAAATCAATAAATAACCCCTACAAACCTGTTGTTTTCCATTTTTTGTCGATTTCGGACTCACAACACTAGAACGACTGTTTTTTTTTAAAAATCTTAAATAAGTAAAATAAAGGAATAGATTCACAAAGCAGGTAATTGTAGATATCTTAGGATCATATTATTTACTCTTATACATTGATGACTTCATTGTAATAGTTTACTGAAAAGATACTGGGAGATGATTTTTTTCTAAGTCTTTTTTTAATATCCAAACATCTGAATAAGTTAATGTGATACTTAGTTATGTATAAAAGTAATATAATTATTCTTTTTTAATTTCCAATTATATTTAGGAACGTAATATATGGAATAACGAATCAATTCAGTTACATTTAACATCAATAATTAAAAAAGCTGAAAATAATTATCATGATAAGTTACAGGATTTACTGTACGATTTACGTTCACAAATGGAGATACAGTATAATGAAGCAAGAATAAAAGTAGAGGAAGGCTTGAAGGTATGAACATCTATTTTATATATATATATATATATATATATATATATATATATATATATATATATATATTTCTCCACTCGATCGTGAGTGTATGGATAATATTATTAGTTATCAATTCGTCTAGACAGTTGACCTACCAGTTTGTGGATCATGAATGTGGTTCATTGCCTAGTCCATAATCCAGTTATACTATTTTTAGAAACTGCTACATGGTTGCTAAAACTTTGTTAGATGGAGCAGGGTTCGGATCCATGACCCATTTGTTGAAAATAGTCTCCTTTAAGCTATGAGTCACAGAGTATAAGCTATACCAACTGTTACCTAGACGTGTTATTTAATGCCTAGCAATAATAATAATAATCGTGGGCATGGATTTAGAAAGTCCCCTATAACTATTACCTGTTTTTCATCAGTGATTTATGAATTCCTAACTACAGACATTCATCAACAACTGCCGCCTACACTGGCTCGCTACTGAAGATCAGATGGATTGCCAGAAAGAATAAGCAACAAGAAGCTCTGGGAACGAACCAACCAAGAACCTATCACGCAACAAATCTGCAGAAGGAGGAAGTGGAGATGGATTGGGCATGCACTGAGAGCGTGCTGACCCGATGGCGGAGGGGAAGTGGGACGTAAAAGACCTCGACCAGGAAAATCAATTTTATATCACTCGAGGACAGTAAGGAGTATTCAACAAACTTTCTTCCTGTTCTATGGTGGTATTCAACGTTGAAATCGTTTATTGCTAGTCAAAGGAGTGTGTATAGTTCACTACCATAGTCGGACAAAACATTTTTCGGGTTCATCGATCAATGTTGCTTTATTTTAACTGTTAACTTGTAACATCTAGAGGACTCTAGTTCTACACTTTCCTACGCAGCATATCCTTCGCTTTCTACGTGTCTACACCCAACATTAGAGTACAGAAGACCACAGTATTACCCTATATACTCACTTATACACAATTGCCTGAGTTCAAGTAGAAAGCGTGCGTATATAGCAGAATATGCTTCTTGAGAAATCTCTTCACTGTGATAACGTGTTAAAAGACTTGTTTACCTGTCATGAATGATGATAAGTATATGATGCCAATAAGTATTCCTGTGCTCATGAACTTGATGAGGAGCAAAGATTGAACTAGAAAACCTTGTCATACCTGGTTTATATAAGGTTCCCTACGTCTAGTTAAGTGTTGAGAATTACCCATAAGCCATAAAATCTCAGAATCTGTTAGTCATCCTGATTTCCACGTGCTTCTTAAGAAAGAAATTTTGTCTATTGTTAAAATATGGAATTCTCAATCAATACCCGTATTCTGAATGGTAGGATATGAAGTTGTCCGTCATATCTATAATAATAACTGCGGCGATTGAGGACTGAATTATTTGTTTATTTGTTATTATTATTATTATTATTATTACTACTACTACTATTATTATTATTATTATTATTATTATTATTATTATTATTATTATTATTATTATTATTAACGTCCAATAGAAGTGATCTCTTGCATTGGTAACTGACACCTATATTCATTCTGTCTGTGTTAATTAACGTTTCTTCATGATATCAAAATAACGTTTTTTTTGGATTTTATCATCTATACAATCATTTTTACATTGAACCCTTGTAGGCTAATTTAGATGCTGAGAAATTACGATCGAATATGCTAGAAAGAGATCTTATGAATAAAGTTAAAGAATGTCAACGATTATTATCATTATTATCTTCACATACAAATGATTTATCCAATTGTCAAGATGAATTAGAAGCTGCAAATAAACAGATTCAAAGTCTTGAACAAAGATTACAAGTGAATGAGGATAAAATGCATAGAATAGCTAGTCAACATCGTGGTGAAATAGAACGCCTTCTAAATCTATTAGCTGATAAATCAGCTGAATGTACTGAATTAAGTGGAATTAAAATACAATTAGATGCTGAAATTGCTATGTATAGAAAATTATTAGAATGTGAAGAGTCTCGGTAAGTCTTTATTTTCAGTGATTATTGTTCTCTAACTTTTTAATCATATTTTATCGCTTATTACTAGGTGTCATCATCAATATCATTGTTATTTGTTCTAATTTGCTTAAACTTATGCATTAAACGTGATAATCATTAGTGATATAATTGAAATTTCGTCATCCTGTTTATTAGTAAGCACTTTACAAATACGGTAAATAACAGTAACTACTTGTATATTCCTGTAGATTAGGTCAATGACACCTACTGTAGTCTGTTGACCGTGAATTATTATTTGTTCCTTGGGTTCCGAGCCGAACAAAAGGCTTCAGTTGCACGTCACCATTTCACTCTCTTCTCTACAGTCTTTCCAACCTCACTCCACAACTTCCTACCCCTAAGCTTTCATTTATTCCTCACAACATCTCCTCCATATCACCATCCCCTCGGACACCCAACTCGTCGTTTCCCATTCGGGTTCCACTCGACGACCTGGGCTCGCCTGTCGCGTGATGTCCCCAAACCGTCTTCTCACTGTATGTACAATCCAATCCAATCCATCTCCACTTTCTTCTTCTGCATGTGTGTTGTGTGATGGGTTCTTACTTGGTGGTTCGTTGCCTGCCTGCCAGCCACAGTTCCTTCTTGCTTATTCTTATTATTCTCACCATCTGATCTCATCTTCAGTGTCGAAGTAGGGTAGGTGGCAGTTGTTGATGAATGTCTATAGTTTGTTGGAAATGCTTTTCGTAAGGCGTCAAGTCTCTCAACTATCATATAGAAGCATTGACTTGACTGACTTAGTGTTGAAAATCTGGATCTTGTTGTTTATGCTGAGTACAATGCAGTGCAGTGCAGGGATCTCCACATTTATTTCAGATTAATGAAGGCCTGTGTCGCTTTTTCGTGTTGGCTTTGACATCCTCATTTGTGCCTGTGCCGTGTGTAGTTGAAACTATGTTGTCGTCTATAGGTAGGTAGGTAGGTGAACGAGTCTACTTCGTTTAGATTTCTCCCATTGATGGTGATTGATGCTTGTTGTTGATGTTGTTGTTTGGGTATCTTCATCACCTCTATGATTGTCCGTGAAAACTACATTTTATTGTACGCCACGCAAAAGTGTGTCGGCATGTTTGAACTTTGTGCTACCTTATTTTACCATGGAATATGTTGCACCCGTTTCTTGTTTTAATCATTCAACTGTATACTCTCGCGCATTTTTAAAATCATTAAAGGCTAGCTATTTTCTTACAAGTTAGTAGGCAAATTAACTAAAAGGACCATGGTAGGTGGCAACAGGCGTATGACTTCTGGAAATACTTAGCACAAACTACAGATATGTACCGAAGAAGATTGGATCACCTTGAGTCACCTTTTTCCGTAAGTATTTATCATAACATGAGTGTAATAGTGCTGAAGGGAAAATGGCTTTATAGTGTATATGATGATGATAGTATGCCTAGATGGTTTCAAGTTACTTCGACAGTATCGATGCTTTTCCAAAAAGAAATGTGGTGTAGGTGTAGCAACAAATATCAATACAAACCGGTCCACCTGCAAGTAATACAAACACACATGACAAACATTTATGTCACACCTGACTGCATTTCCTTAGATCTGTCAACTTCTGCTGATGAATTCACTGCTCCGATTCTGGTAACTCTTTGTCTATAGTCTTTGGAGATGGGACATAGGGCTTCAGTATCACGTCGGCATTTCACTCTCTTCTCTACAGGTTTTCCAACCTGACTCTACGACTGCTTGACTATAAGCTTTCATTTCTTCCTCACATGATCTCTTCCATTTCACCCTTGCCTCGGACACCCAACTCGTTGTTTCCCCTTTGGATTCCACTCGAGGGCCTGTTGCGTGATGTCCCTGAATGGTCTTCTCAGTGTATGCCCAATCCACCTCCACTTTCTTCTTTTGCATATTTGTTGTGTAAAAGGTTTTTCGTTGGTTCGTTGCCAGCCAGCCAGAGTCCCTTGTTGCCTATTCTTTCTAGCCATCTGATCTTCCGTATTGAGCCAGTGTACGCAGCTGTTGATGAATGTATGTAGTTTGTTGGAAATGCCCTCCTCCCAATCCATGGGCAGGCACCTTTCCTCCCTTCCAAGCCTTCTGCAGTAGTGGTGTGAGCATGTCCGCTGCTATCTCTGTGTCTGTTTTCAGTGCTTCTGGAGGAATTCCCTCTGGTTCTGCTGCTTTCCCGGATTTCAGGGACTTTATGGTATTCAGGACTTCTACTTTTGTCGCAGGGCCTATGATCGCTGGTAGTTTTGCCGTTGCTGGTGGTATTTCCGGACGAGTTGTGCAGGTAGTGGTCGATTGAAGAGATTTTTGAAGTGGTCAGCGCATCGTTTCCCTCACCATATTTCGTTGGTTTCAGCTGCGTTGATCTCCTCCCATACTGTATCCTGGTTATTTGATACAATGTTGTCACGTCTCTACCTCTCTTACCTGCAGCCTGTACTGCTTCACTCACCAATGTGTCGTAGAAGTGTCTTTCGTCTTTCCATGCACTCTTCTTCACTTCTTTGTCCAATGTAATGTTTCACAGTTTGTGTTCAGTTCCTCTTTTCGTTGTTCATCCCTACACTGCACTGCACTGCATTGCACTGCCTCATCCTCTGCTTCACCATCTTCCCCTCCTTCGTTTATCAGCTTTTCCATGTGTCTGTGGAGATCCATTGCTTGTCTTGCCTCTTCTTCTTCCTTCCTAACACGGTTATGAAGGTTTCCTTCCACGTGTCTCTTTCAAAGAGTTCCAGTGTTCTTGCACACAGGTTTCCTCCTGGATGTAGCTTGATGTTTCCAATTTTGTCCTAATGTGAATGTGTCTTTGAAGTTTCGTCCTTCAGTTTCTGTTCTGGATGTTCAACGTGAAATGTGGTCCATGATCACCAACTTCTGTGAATACTTTCAAGTTGATTTTGAAGGTAGGTAGGTTCCTTGCATTAGATGGTGATTGGTGTGGACGTACATCTGCTCCCCTTCTTGATCTTATCTTGTGTGCAGTGGGCTTGTTGCGTTTCCACTTTCTTCACATTGAGATGAAGTGGATGTGATTTGTAGTGTAGTGTGTTTATCTGGTGAATGGTGAAATGGAATCCATATCGCTCGGTTTGTGAGTATGGTTGTGATTGTACAGACTGCCTCCCTCCAATCACCGAATCGTTGAATGCACAGAATTCTGCAAACAGTTATCCATTGTTGTTCATCATTTCACTGAGTGCTTCTCGACCCATGATGACATATCGACCAATTGGCTTCCTGAATGCTTTCACTAACCGGCGTCATTTTGTCACTCCGATTCCAGCGAGGAAAAAGTTTGTTTTCATTTTTTTTATTTTCTTTAGTGATTGGATTGGTATTACTTTGTAGGGTTGCTAGCCGTATGTCGAACCTTTTCTGTTTATGTGGTCTTAGGACCGGCTAGTAACTAGTGAACTAGTTAACCAGGTGAGTTTACCTGACACATAAATTCAGAAATAAATGCAAGATCAAACTAAAATAAGACAGAAGTTTATAGACTAATTTCTGTAAAAAAGCTTCTCATTTGAATCGTTACTACACATCAAATCATCTTACCCCATCTCATTTAAAGTTAGGCTTAGTTAAGTGCCTAAGTGATAAGGCAAATCAGCTTACTAGTAGACCAGAAAATCTGCGAAATGTCACACGTCAAGAATAACTAAATTTATACATAAATTCATAAAAAACCGAAGAAAAAATATAAGCAGTAATAGTAGTAGTAACACGTGCTGATGATAATAATCCTACTACTGATAGTAATAATGGTGATAGGGTTGAGAGAGAATTCAAGCCCTCTGCTGTGTTACCATACAAAAAAGGCCCCTCTGAAGCACTACGACGAGTTCTTAATGAGGCTAACTGGGATTAAGGTGGCATTTAAACCAACAAACTTGCTTAGAAACAAGCTTTGTGGGTTAAAAGATCCTATGAATGCAACTAAGTAAACTATTGTAGTTTACCAAATCGGTTGCAATAATTTCGAAGTCAAATACGTAAGTCAAACTAGTCGACTAGGGGCAATTAGAATAACGGAGCACAGAAATTTATAAAGCTCAGTTATAGCTCTGCACGCAGTTACACTCACTCACACAGAGTGGGATAGAGAGCGACATTGTTAAAAACTTAGATGGAGGGAGAGATTGATAACCGGTTCTCTGTTTATCGAATCAACACCTAATACATGCAGTAATAGAAATGATTCTGTACCTGACCCAAATAGATGGAAAATTCTACTACCCTTGTCATCACAAAGAAGGAGAGAGAAGGTTGGGACTATATAAACTCTGTCTCAAAGTTGTGGAGTCAGTTAGCTGATATGAATATGGATAATAAGTTGTGTCCGAAACATTGTTATCCAGTAAATGACACTACCCCTTCCCTGTGTAACATTTTTAATAAACAGACTGAAATGGAAGTACCAAAACGTTGTTTAGAATGAAGTGATTATTATTTTTTTTAAAGATGAGTACAAATGAGGTGTTAAAATAATCTATAAAATACTAGCAGAAAACACAAGAAAGGTTATTTTATATCACCGATGTCCACCATTGCCTTCGTAGTGTAGGCCGTATTCCGTGGTCTCGCCACGTTAGTAACGCAGAAGTCAGTCTTAGAGTTTTAGGGAGAAGAGGTGAGTCAGTTGATGAGGTTATGAACCTTCATCGACTGAGATGGTTACGACATGTTACATATGTCTAGTCGCCGTCTGCTTCATCATACAATGTTAGCCGAAGTAGAGCCAGCCTAGAAAAATACCCGAGGTAACCAGACTAAAACACGGCACCAATGTATGAAGTGTTTGACCGTTAGTTTGACCCATGTAGGGTGGTGCGGACTGCGTGGTTGGGGTCCGTGGACAAGAGAAATCAGTAGTTGGAGACTGACTCTAGGTGATCACATGGCTCAAAACCGATTTCACTGACGTGGATGTATACACACGTCACCCTCATCTTAACGACGCTATATCGAATCTCACCACTTCCTTAATCTTCTTTTCTATCTTTTAGTACTTTATATTTCTCTTCATCTTTCATTCACTACCTTCTTACGTGATGTACTGATATGAGGTATGGCATACTTGACTGTTACACAGTAATGCCTAGTCCTATGTGGATTTGGATGGATAGATTAAGATTATTTGTGATAATAATCTAACACAGGATAGGATATACCCCTTAGGAACTGCAATACTTATTCTCTGTGTAATTCGTCTCTACTGGATTGATGACCGCTGTTACCTATGCCTTTTCTAAGTTATTCATTTCAGTTACCTCCAAAGATTTGTGTGATTAGGGTTGGGTAGATTAAACTATTGGGGGAAATATAATTGTATTCACTAGAGTGTATTTAGTTAATCTGCTGAAACAATAACAGTAAAGGTTATTAATAAACTGTAATTACTGATCAATTGAGAAGCACGATTCTCAGTAACACAAATCCATTTTAACTCAAAAAGCGTAAACAAGGGAAGTATAAATAGAATTAAATGTTTCTCTATGACTTTCAATATATTACTGGATAAAGAAGGTGAAGAGTAGTTGTTGGTAGAGATTAGCAATGGTTCAGATATTGAAAGCATCTAGTGTGAAAAAAGCAACGACAGTCCACGATGAATACTACTTCTAAAACAACATATCAAATAGATGACTAAAAACAGGGGGGAGAAAACACTAATAAGTCACTGGTGTCCTCAATGTATCTTTTTTCTCATTCTTGGCATCCTGACTTCGCTGCCTATGCTTTTAAAGTCTTGATAACTTCTTATATATTTAGTAGGTACAATAAAGATTGTCTTTCGTTGTAGAGTAGTTGGTTGAGACAGTCTAGCTTCGTTTTCTCCCTGAGTCAGATGATGTAACGTCAGCGATAGTAGAATAAACTGGTAAACTTCTTGTTTTTTTGTTAATTATTTGGCTGATTTGTATGAACTTGTCATCAAATAAAGCATGCAGACATCCTAAGGGTTAGAGTGAAACGAGTGAATTGTATAATTATGAAACTCACGGAAGTTCGAGAGCCATAGGCTAGTGTACATGTTTCTACTGTACCAATCGATCATATACGTGTGTGTAGTGAATTCTTTTGAGATCAGAATATAATTGAGTTTTGAATGGTCAAAATATTACCACATAATTTACTTGATCTCCAATCTACGCTCAAAATCTTTCAAGGCTTATTTTGTTCAGTATGCAGATGTGCGTTATCAATGAGCGACTTTATATTTCACCAAAAAAATAGCTGAAATAACCAATTAAAATACCTTATGAAAATCTATCTTCCAGTCAAAATACAGAAAGCTGATTGGTTATTTCAACAGTCTCTAGAGTGGCTTTCAAATCAATTTTGTTATAACTAGCTTTGAGTTTTCATCACCAGACTGGTCTATGACCCTATATATCCATTCTCTGGTCGGTGGTATACAGCTAAATAAAGTTCCTTAAACCACCGATAAATAACCCCATACTTTTATTGTTAAATAAACTGACGTTTCGGGCAGTTATAAATATCTTGACTAGTCTGTTTCTTTGTCTTTGTTATTAGGATCTACGATTTGGCTAGGTTAATCGCTAGGATAAACAAAATCCCAACCGTATTTAGTACAGCTGACTGTGTTATTATTATTATTATTTGTCCCTTGGGTTCCTAATGGAACGTAGGGCTTCAGTAGCATGCCTCCATTTCACTCTGTTCTCTGAAATCTTTCTAACCTGACTCCCTGCCCATAGGCTTTAATTTCTTCCCCACACGATCTATTACATGTCACCATCCCCTCGGACACCCAACTCATCGTTTCCCATTCGGGTTCCACTCGACGGCCTAGGCTGGCCCGTCGCGTGATGTCCCCAAACCGTCTTCTCACTGTATGTACAATCCAATCCAATCCATCTCCACTTTCTTCTTCTGCATGTGCGTTGTGTGATGGGTTCTTACTTGGTTGGTTCGTTGCCTGCCAGCCAGCCATCCAGAGTTCCTTCTTGCTTATTCTTATTATTCTGGCCATCTGATCTCATCTTCAGTATCGAGTGAGCCTGGACGGCTGGTGTTGATGATTGTCTGTAGTTTGTTGGAAATGCTTTTCCTAACGCGCCAAGTCTCTGAGCCGTATAGAAGCACTGACTTGATATTGGTATTAAAAATCTGGATGTTGTTCACGCTTTATGCTGAGAGCAGATCTTCACACCGACTTTAGGTTAATGAACTCCTGTCTTGCTGTCTTTCCGATTCTGGCTAGCTTTGATATCCTCGTCTGTGCCGTCTATAGTTGAAACAGCGCTGCCTAGATAGGTGAAAGAGGCTCTTTCCTTTAAGTTTCTCCCATTGATGGTGATTGGAGCTTGTTGTTGTTGTTGGTGGCACTGGTTGAGTATCTTCATCACCTCTGTCTTCTACGTTCACTTGAAGTTCCGTCTTCGCTGCCCTGCCTCTTCTGTCAACTTGTTATTTTTGCCTATAGATCTTCAGGTTTGTGTGACATTGGACACTAGCCCTCGGCGAAATCCAAATCTTCTAGGGTCTTTTCCGCGGTCCAGCGTACCCCGCTCTTCTCACTCCTCACTGTTTGTTGCATGATCCAGTCCTTTACAATCAGGAATATCATGGGTGATAGTAGGAGGCAGCCTTGTTTTACTCATGTCTTCACTTCAAAACATCACTGAGTTTTCAATTGTGAATTAATTGGCATGTGGCGTCTTCATATAGTTGTTGAATGAGATTGGTAAAGGTTTGTGGTATTCCGTAGTGTTGAAGCAACTACCAGATTATTTCTGGGTTGACGCTGTCGAAGGCCTTTACGAAGTCGATGAAGTTGAGTTGACTGCCATTCTATACTCTGTTCTATGATGATGCGTAGTGTAGCGTTGCAATTTGGTTGGCACATGATTTTTACTTCCTGAATCCAGCCTGTTCGGTCGTAGTTTTGCATCCATCGCATCCTTTAGTCTCTCCAGGATGATGTGGCTTAATATTTTGCTTGTAAGTTATTCGAACATTATTACTAGGGTCTTATGAAAGCCTAGCTTCGATTAGCGTAAAGTTAACGACCACTGATAACGTGCTTTCAAGGGTTGTAGAATTAAGTACTAATCTGCACAATTTCGTATGTTGTATCGAAGTCTTGCACCTGTACGCAAAAAGAATGAGAGTAATAACAAATGTCCTTAACGTATTTATCTTTTGATTTTATTTTGATGAGATCCTGATTTAGCCGCCTACGCTTTTACGGCCTTGAGGATTTTGCACATATTTTGGAGTAACTCTAAGAGCCACTTTAACAACGACCGGAGTAGCCAATAAGGATTCTTTACTTTATCGAAAACTAATATTGCAGCAGTGATAACAAGACCTGAATGATTATTTCATCAGTTTCTAGAGTACCGTTCAGACTCACTCCATGTTTTATTGACTACAGTGTGGTTATTAACTGTGGTGAAGGGGGGACAGCGGTGTGTCATTGTATTCTGTCTGATTCAGCTGGTGTGTGACCTCAATAGTAGCAGAATCAACTGGAACATAGCTACTCTACTTAGTAGTAACCGTTAGGATAAGCGTTCGGCATTTCCGTCAATCCCCCGATCACAGGACCGAATAAGAGGCCTTAGAACGAGGCTAAGAGCAGTGTCGTCAGCCATACCTTTTAGATCAGGGGTATAACAACTTGGCGTCTACTTCTATGAGTAATATTAGTTTGAGTAGGATAGGTGGGTAAAGAACCAAGGTTAACGAAGCAGTAGCTTGAAGAGTCAATGAATGCTTGATAGCGGTGGTGTATAAATATGATGACTTGTTGGTTGTCGTTTTCTGAATGATAATCAAATACTTGAGTCTTAGGTATTGTCCATTGAAATTGCTTACTATGCCACTTATTCACTTTTGATCGTCTTCAGAATCCTGAAGAGATTAGTTCACTACCTGATCATTATCTCCCTCTTCATTTTCTGCTTCTAGCTTATTTTGAAGAAATCTTAATTCTGTCTGTAACCGTTTTTTGTGTACAGTTCTAATTCGTCGGTTTCGGCACTGAATTCTCAACCAACAGGCGACGAACGAATTGGAATCCTGCTTCACCTACGGTGGTATGTAAACCACCGGATAGTTTTATCAAAATTCATGTAGGCAAGTGTGTTTCACTACCTAGTGCGTGAAAATGTACATGTTTACGGGAGTTACATGAATTTCAATGTCCTACTTAACTTTTTTTTCGGTTATACTGCGAAACGAAGTAACCTGAATTGACGTATTTTTCTACGAAGTTACTCTTGCTATACTATGAAGTTGTGGCTCAGTGATTTGGAGAGATTACCAGCAACCATTGGGTTACAGGTTCCAGCCCCGCTCCACCTACTGAGGTTTGGACAGTCATTTAATATCACTAGCCCTCACGCAATAGGTGTGACTCGTTGCTTAACTGCACAACTGTGCACAAGGTAGCTGAGAGCGGTTCTTCTTTCTTCCACTCTTACCAAACCTATTGGTTTCCTTAGGCATATTAGTCATAACGTTTAAATGTCAGCCCTCATTTTCTGTTTGCTCCATTGTAATTGTTTTGTTTTCCCCCCTCTTTCTTAAGCCTTGATATATCTCCAGATAAAAAAATGACAGGTAAACCAATTATTCGAATATCTACGGGTAAAAAACGTTCATATGAGAAGTTGTCATCTTCAATACTGACAGAATCGCACCCATCAACTTCAAGTTCAGCTAATGTTGATTTAGATGCTGTAGTTGATTTGAGTAAATCTGTTGTTGTTACAACTGAAAATTCTTCAACTTGTCGTCGTCCTTTAACTACCACTTCTATATTTCCACGTCATTCATCTCGTTCTACTTATTCCACTATTGCAAAAGAAACAATGGATTCAACAGATACTTTACATTTAAGAGCAGAGATATTGGAATCAATGGATAATAATTTCAATTTGGAGAAAAATAATCTGTCTACATCATCATCCAGTTTAGTTGGAAATTCTTTGCGTATAACATGTCGTTCTGATGGTCCAATACATTTTGCAAGTGCTGATCCAGGTGATGGTTTAGTACGTATTTATAATGCTAGTGAAAATGTAAGTGTAGTCATTTTAAAGATTAAATTATTTCATCTCAAAGTTACTGCCTACTTATCAGAAAGTATGTACACCACATTTTATAAACACCCAGTTGGGTAAAATTCTATAATCCTATAAACTGAGGTTGTATATCTTGTAACACACACTCAGTAACCTTGTACACGTTCTTTTAGTAAGCAAAGTCATATCTATTGTCTGAGAGCTAATAAGTATCTACCTGGTTGCTCAAACCTTTGTAGGTGGGTAGAGTAGTGTTCGAACTAGTTAGTCAGTGGTTGGAAGTCATATGCCTAAACCAATGGACTATAAGCTTCGTTGTAACACTAGCGATCAGTCAATGCTTCTAAAAAAGAGAAACACTACTGCTTTAACATTGGATTACAAGGATCTACAACCTTCTTAATTTTCTGTTTGATATTGTTTTACAGCTGACTAACTGATAAGATCAACGTAGAACCTCGTGCACAGATTCATCGGTTCAATTTGACATATTTCATATCAGTACAAAAAGAACTGGCGGATAGAAAAAAAGTGATATCAAAGCAGTCAAAGTAGTGTAAGACAATTAAAAACTTGAGGATAAAAGTTAGTGTGAATATTCAAGCTTTAGATGTCAAGAAGCGAACACATTTACGCCATTATTCTCCTCAGCGACTGATTCCTTTCATCTCAGGGACCTCAAACAACCAGTATACATCGCCACACATGACTCAGACCAACAGTGAGAGACTTCACGGACCGGTGCCACGTGTTGGTCTGGTCACCCTGAATTCTCTTCCAATCTAATCCAGCTTCCTTTATAATGGCACGTCGAGGTGGACGGTGACTTGGTATGCACAGTACACATGCTCAAGCCATTTCAGTCCATAAAGGCCTGTTTCATCGCCTAGTACCCTTTGTCTGACTTCAACATTGCTCGTACAGTGATTCCATCAAATGTGAACAATGCTGCAGAGATACTTTCAACCAAAACCTTGTAATCGTTTCATGTTTTACAGATATAATATTAAAACGAGTTGTACTGTTATTTTCTATCCGTATTGTTTAGCAAAAGCTTGCCTCATTAATTAGTTCAATAGTTACTAGCCGGTCCTAAGCCCGCATAAACAGGGAAGGTTCGACATACGGCTAGTAACCCTACAAAATAAAACAAATCCAATCGCTAAACAAACTTAAAAGCACAAAGAAAATATAAAAAATGAAAACAAACTTTTTCCTCGCTGGAATCGGAGAGATGAAATGACTTCGGTTGGTGGAAGCCTTCGGGAAGCCAGTGGCCGATGTGTCTCCTCTTCTCTCCATGAGAGCGAAAGTAAGGATTGGGACATGAAATGTCCGCACCACGTATGAACCTAGAAAGGTTGCCCAGATTCCCAAAGAGATGAGAAGGTATGGCATGGAACCGCTTGGAATCTGCGAAAGCAGATGGAATGGAAGTGGACTCTCTAGACTTTTAACTGAGAGTCAGTTATCTAATTTACTCAGATATTGTCACCCAGACGATAACCACCAGCACACGGAAGGAGTGACTATCATGATTTCCCGAAGAACATCACAGGCTCTCGTGCCGTGGGAACCAATCTCCTCGTGCAGGATCACGATCATGACACCAAAATTCAACTCAAAAGGAGGGAGGGAAGGAAGGAAGGTCACAATCATACAATGGTACACCACGCACCTACAAATAATGCAGATCAAGAGAAGGAGGAACTCTACAGACAACTCTGATCGCCAACGGACAAGATCCCAACCCACATATGGCGACATCAAAATTCTGATGGGTGATATGAGTGCCAAACTGTGGGCAGACAACACAGGAAGAGAACTGACAATTGGTCGAGAAGCACTCGGTGAAATGATGAACAAGAATGGATAACTGCTTGCAGACAGGTATCCGGGAGGAAACCTATGTGGAAGAACGCTGGAACTCTTTGAAAGAGACACGTGGAAGGAAACCTTCATAACCGTGTTAGGAAGGAAGAAGAAGAGGCAAGACATGCAATGCATCTCCACAGACACATGGAAAAGCTGATAAACGAAGGAGGGGAAGATGGTGAAGCAGAGGATGAGGCAGTGCAGTGCAGGGATGAACTACGAAAAAGGAACTGAACACAAACTGTAAAACATTACATTGGACAAATAAGTGAAGAAGAGTGCACGGAAAGACGAACGACACTTCTACGACACATTGGTAAGTGAAGCAGGACCAGATGGTATTCCGCCAGAAGCGCTGAAAACAGATGCAGAGACAACAGCTGGCATGCTCACACCACTAGTGCAAGAGGTTTGGAAGGAAAGATACCTGCCCATTGATTGGAAGAAGGTTGAAATAAGTCTTTGCAACAACTGACACGGAATCATGCTTCTGTCCACCCCAAGCAAAATATTAAGCTGGACCATCCTGGAGAGACTAAAAGATGCGCTGGGTTCGAAATTTAACTGGAGCAGGATGGCCGACTTCAGGAAGAATAGATCATGTGTGAATCAAATTGCAACGCGACGCTACGCATCACCATAGAACAGCAGATAGAATGGCAATCAACTCTCTACCTCAACTTCATCGATTTTGAATAGGCGTCGACTGAAAAGTAATTTGGCAGGCAGTTGCTTCAACACTACGGTTTTAGTGACACAAACCTTTATCAACCTCATTCAACAACTATACGAAGGCGCCATATGCCAAATGATTCACAATGAAAAGCTCAAAGACGCCTTTGAAGTGAAGACAGGTTGACAGGTAAGACAACGTTGTCGCCTACTATCACCGATCATCTTCCTGATTATGGTTCACTGGACTGAATCATGCGAAAAAATGTGAGGAGCTGTAAGAAATTGGGTATACGCTGTTTACCGATGAAGAGACCCTAGAAACTTTGGATTTCGCCAACGATGATGATTTATGTCTAATGTCTTATGGGGCACGAACTCCAAGATCCACAGGCAAAACCAACAAGTTGACAGAAGCAGGGCAGAGAAGACGGAGGTGATGAAGATAGCCAACCAACAACAAGCATCAATCACCACCAACGGGAGAAATCTAAAGGAAGTAGTCTCTTTCATCTACCTGGACAGCATCGTTTCAACAACAGGCGCCACAGGCACACATGAGGATGTCAAAGCCAACACGAAAAAGCGAGACAGGCCTTCATTAATCTGAATCAATGTGGAGATCCGCTGCACTGCACTGCACTCAGCATAAACAACGCGATCGAGATTTTCAACACCAACGTGAAGTCAGTGTTTCTATGTGATGGTTCGGAGACTTGACGCCTTACGAAAAGTGTTTCCAACAAAGTATAGACATTCATCAACAACTGCCACCTACCCTAGTTCGATACTGAAGATGAGATGAGATGGTGAGAATAATAAGAATAAGCAAGGAGGAACTGTGACTTGCTGGCTGGCTGACTGACTGACTGACAGGCAGGCAGGCAACGAACCAACCAAGTAAGAACCCACCACACAACAAATATGGAGAAGAAGAAAGTGGAGGTGGGTTGAATTGGATTGGATTGTACATACAGTGAGAAGACGGTTTGGGGACATCACGCGACAGGCAAGCCTAGGCCGTCGAGTGGAACCCGAATGGGAAACGATGAGTTGGGTGTCGGAGGGGATGGTGACATGGAGGAGATGGTGTGAGGAATAAATGAAAGCTTAGGGGTAGGAAGTCGTGGAGTGAGGTTGGAAAGATTGTAGAGAAGAGAGTGAAATGGTGACGTGCAACTGAATTCCTATGTTCGACTAGGAACCCAAGGGACAGATGATAATATTTATAGTTTAGTGAACACGCTTATGTATACGTAATTTTTGCACCATACCAAGGCTTTGATCTCGTTTGCATAGTGTTGACCACCTTCATCTCCATGATTTACACGCTTTCAGATAACTATTATTTTCTGGTTTCTGCTTCATTTAGTAGACTACCTGTGTAGTGCTCACCAGGATGATAGGAATCAGTGGTTGAGAACTCCTTGTGACATGACTGGAAATCGATCACAATGATACAGATGTATTCATTCTAAGGCTTGAATATTCACATTGAAACTGTTATCTTCAAATTGTTTATTTTGTTCTCTTCACAACTTTGTTTACTTTGGTTTTATTCTTTTTCTGTCCACTTGTTCTTTGTATACTTCTGCGAAGTGTGTTAACTTGAACTGATGCATCTATATGCGAGGTTCTACGTTGATTTCGTCTATCTGCTTCATTATTTTAGTAATAATTGGTATAAATTATTCCCAACAAGCCTGTTTATATTATTCTCATCATTATCAGTAACAACCTAGGAGACAGACATTACCTGCGTACCGGTTAAATTTGCCACATTTCATCAATCAATAACAACATAGGACCAGGCATTACTGCATAACGGTCTGAGTTACCACACCTCATATCAGTACATCAAGTAAAAAGGCAATGTGAAGTGGATGATGAAGAAAATGGTGGGATTTAGTATAGCGTCGTTAAGATGATGTATGTGTGTGTGTGTACACATTTGGGTCACTGACATAGGTTCTGAGTCATATCACCTAGAATCTCCTCTTGTCCCGCGGACCCCAACCGGCTAGTCTGCATAACCCTACATGTCTCAAACCAACAGTCAAAGACTTCATACATTGATGCCATATTCTACTCTGGCCACCTTGGGTCGTTTTCCAGTCTGGACGTACTTCACCCAACATTGTGTGACGAGGCGATCGGGGGCTAGGCATACGTAACATGTGTACCAGCAATCTCAGTCAATGAAGGTTCATAACCTCGTCAACTGATTTATCTCTACTACACGTGGTGACACCACGGAATACCGGCCTATACTGCGAAGGCAACGTTGGTCAAACACCTGAAGCCTTCTCATGTCTTCCACCTTCAATGGCCACAATTCATACCATCACATCAATTATAACAAAGTGATAAGGCGGTGAAAAAAGAAGAAACAAAGAGGAATCAATCAAAAGCAGTAAGAGGAAGAGAAGGAGGAATGCACCACGTATTATTCTATTTGTAATCTAAAGTTTTGCTCATTATCTTTATGACTCAGTGTGAATGATACTTCACTTTCATATAAAAATGTCATGACTATATGTTAGACTATCCAGCCTATTCATTTCATTTTGCTATTCGATTTAGTTTAGGTTTGTGTGGATGGTGTAGAAGGTGTTCCTTATGAACTAACATCATTTGTGGAAACATTGGATACCTAGAAGTACTGGACAGGTGTTTTGTCCTGGTGTTGCACTCCTCAGGAGTGCGAACCCATGACCTCATCGTTCTAGGGTTCGAACTCAGGGCCTTCATTTTCCGTGGCCAGCACGTCACCATTGAACTACTGAGTTGCGATCCTATGTTCCACATTTGCCTACTTTTATCAGTCTGCGATGTAGTGTGACCTCTATCCTATACCATCGCTGGTTTGATGACTCAATAACTCTGACACTCAACTAATGATCACTGTCGTAGATTGAAACTCACCTGGGTAGCTGTTCATATTTTTAGTGTGGGTATTGTTTTATCTAAAAGTTATACAGTTGGAAAATTATTTAAACGGTATGCATAAATGGAGACACGTTTTTTAATGCTTTTTATCCGTCATATCTTTAGGCAATTGATTTAGGTGATTGGCGCCTGTATAGTGGTCCAACACACGAAGGTTCATTGGATTATGCAAAACTTTACACCTTTCCAAAATCTCAAATTTTACAACCACATACAGAACTACAGGTTGGTCACACTACAAATAGTTTATTTTTGTTTTCTACAATTTCATTATGGTAATTGTTATTTTTACTGATGGACTTTTAGTAGTATTATGTATATATTTCCACTGTTTGTTTATGCTTATGGTGTGTTATCTTGATTACTGCCTAGGAGACAAAGTTCTTGTTGTCAAGTTATTGTCTTGATTTCATAGGTTAATTTAGTAATCACTGAACTCTGATCATAGAAAAAGTATTTCGCCAATCGAAATACAAAAATCTGATTGGTTACTTTATAAGTTATAAGAGCGGTCTTTAAAGTCTTCAATCATAATCCTACAGCTTAGTGTTATTGTGATTATTAAAGGCAAAAGAACCACTCCTGGTACCATCGAGTAGAAGCTTATCTTTCTACATTTTTTACTGTTAAAGGGAAATGTGATTGCCAACGATAATTAATCATTGACTGACTGACCGCTTTTTTCGTAAAGGAACCTCCTGTTAAACTATCAAACTAGTCTGGATATCTCAAAGCCATACATTAAGATAATTGATATTTGGCCAACCCTCTTCCTTTCTTACTGGTAACTATATTTACCACTTCACAAGTAACATGCCAAGGCATCGAAGAAGCAGTGATAAGCATTATATGCTTCTTATTATATTCTAAGTAGTTTGTTACTACTTTTTCATGTTCCTCTTTTTATTCCTCATTCATTTTCTAAGTTGTGAACGTCCTACCCCTACGTCCACCTTTTCCCCCCTTTCATTGCGCTGACGATAACTCCATTAGCTGTGCATCATTGTTTACACTTTCTTGTCAGTTTCACTTCTCGCTACAGTATTCACCTAGTTAGTCATTCTGTAAATCATTTGACTGTCTGAGATAACCGTAGTTTGGCAGACTAGTATTTATACTGAGTCATAATTGAACGTGAAACGGAAATTTGGACAGCGGTCGGGTTCGAACCAGCGACCATAGGGTTTCTAGCTCGATACTTTACCAACCGAGCTACGAGGTCCAACACCTAGTGTTGGTCTGTAAATCATCAACTGTATGAACCATAAGAAAGCCATCCCATAGAATCCTAAAGCATCAGTTATCGTTTTTTAGTGAACAATTTCTTGTTAAACCTGTGAATTATGTCTAAAAGTTTTGACTGTATATGACATGTCTAGAGGTGATCAGCAGGTGAAGACAATCCTCAAAATACGTGAATGCTTCAGTTGTTCATATTGTTTTATCCAAGTTTGTGGATGAAACATCTGGTGGATATTTATAATGCCTTCTTATACAATGGTGTCATGCAGAGACATAAATAATCAATCTGAAATATCCTGGACTAAATTGATGACTGTTCACTTTTGTGTTTAAACTAACAGGAAGTATGCTTCAGTGTATTAACCGTTGAGACAATTTCTCTTGGAAAGAATCATTGTTTGTATAATCGCTGGAAACTCATTTCACCTTTGTTCAATATTCTCTTCAGTAGTGTACTCTGAATCAAACTTTTGTTTGCTTAAAACTGTAATCTGGCAGTGGTATCCATGGAGCGCGTTTCGTCCTATTTGGGAGTCGCTAGCTGGATGTACCTGCCTCCCAGTGGGCAATGTTGTTCCCGCCAAAACCTAGAGCTTGTTCTAATTATTTCAAACGCCAGAGTGTTATCTACTAGATCGCGGAGTCACGGTAGATAATATCGAAGCGTTCACATAGGGGCCTAAACGCCAATATAGACTGGTCAGTTCGATCCAGTCAACAGTGGGATAATACAAACAAGAACATATCATTCATTTTTCCTATTGTTTTATGTATACTCTTCAGGAGAAACCTGAAAGAAGTGGTCTCTTTCACCCACCTAGACAGCAGCATCATTTCAACAACAGGCGCCACAGGCACACATGAGGATGTCAAAGCCAACACGAAAAAGCGAGACAGGCCTTCATTAATCTGAAATCAGTGTGGAGATCCACTGCACTGCACTGCACTCAGCATAAACAACGCGATCGAGATTTTCAACACCAACGTGAAGTCAGTGTTTCTATGTGATGGTTCGGAGACTTGACGCCTTACGAAAAGTGTTTCCAACAAACTATAGACATTCATCAACAACTGCCACCTACCCTAGTTCGATACTGAAGATGAGATGAGATGGTGAGAATAATAAGAATAAGCAAGGAGGAACTGTGGCTTGCTGGCTGGCTGGCTGGCTGGCTGGCTGGCTGCTGGCTGGCTGGCTGGCTGGCTGGCTGGCTGGCTGGCTGGCTGGCTGGTTGGTAGGCAGGCAACGAACCAACCAAGTAAGAAGCCATCACCCAACAAATATGGAGAAGAAGAAAGTGGAGGTGGGTTGAATTGGATTGGATTGTACATACAGTGGAAGACGGTTTGGGGACATGACGCGACAGGCGAGCCTAGGCCGTTGAGTGGAACCCGAATGGGAAATGACGAGTTGGGTGTCGGAGGAGATGGTGTGAGGAATAAATGAAAGCTTAGGGGTAGGAAGTCGTGGAGTGAGGTTGGAAAGACTGCAGAGAAGAGAGTGAAATGGTGACGTGCAACTGAATTCCTATGTTCGACTAGGAACCCAAGGGACAAATAATAATAACAACAATTAGGGGATTTAAAGATAGTTCCTAATACAAAGTGATGGCTTTTAAATAATCATTGCAAGCTAAGATGTATCATATATTTGTTTAATTATTTTGAGGTACTTATTTTCTTTATATTTACATTAATTTCTAATGGGGATTACTTATTTTAGATTTTTCTTTGCTGGGCAGCTGAACCTTCACAAGTATCTGCTTCTAAACGTTCTCGTCATCAAGTTACTGCAGTTTTGCATTTAATCACTCCAATTTCTGTTTGGAATCCTTACAGCAGTTTAATTGCCTTACAAGATTCAGTTGGTTCTGTGAGTTAATTATTTTCGAGAATTTCCTTCTTTGTGTTTAATATTGTATATTGTTAGTTGTATACATGGTTCAGAGACTTGGCGCGTTACCAAAGGGATTTCCAATAAACTACAGACATTCATCAACAACTGCTTACGCTGGCTCGCTACTAAAGATCAGATGGATTGCCAGAAAGAATAAGCAACAAAGAGCTCTGGGGACGAACCAACCAAGAACCTATCGCTGAACAAGTATGCAGGAGGAAGTGGAGATGGATTGAGCATGTACTGAGAAGGCCGACTGAGGACATCACGCGTCAGGCCACTTGCTCGAGTGGAACCCAGATGGCAAGCGACGAGTTGGGCGTCCTAGGTGAGGGTGACATGGAGGAGGTCGTGTGAGGAGGAAATGAGAGCTTGGGGGCTGTGGTGGAGCCAGGTTGAAAAGATTTCAGAGAACAGAGTTCACTGGAGACGTGCTACTGAAGCCCTATGTTCCATTAGGAACCCAAGGGACTAATAATAATAATAATAGTTGTATATTACTGAAAAGAACATAGACAAATTCAGCTCTTTAACCATGTTAACGTTAGTTCAATGGATTATGAAATACATATTACTGGGTGTGAGGTGATCTAATGAATAGTAATAATAATAATGATGATAACGCGAACGATAAAAGCGCGATGAAACGCTTGGATTGGATGAGAACAGCGACTATCCTTCTTCAGAACCTTAATACTTTACCAAGCTGCTAAATTCAGAAGATTAGGACCTTTCTGTGTCTAAGAAAGATACTTTATTTGTTGGAAATACATCGCTTATATATAGTTTCCACGGATCAAGCGTTGGATCTTTATTTTTGTTGGTCAGCTATAGAACAAAATTGTCCAGTAAGGTTTTTCCTAAGCACATGAAACAAAGGTTCATATCCAAAACGGATGATTTAAAATGTTGATTTCCATTTAGGCGGCTTCCTATCAGCATGGTATGTTTAACTGCTTCTTCTCTGGATAAACACTGGTAGGATAAAAAGTGGTGACTGGACTGTACAGCTTCAGACTATGATTATATGATGAGAAATTACTTCAGTAGTACAAGGTTCAATTATTTCAGATTATCTATTACGCCGCTCCAAACTGCTATTAACGACTAAGACTACACGGACATCGACTGTCAGCCATTAAACTTTTACAATTTCCTAGTTGATTCATAACATCCCGGGTAATTAGTGGAGAAGATATCGTTATACGACAATGGACTAAAAATTGTGACCGAGACGTGATCATGTGAATAATACTACTACTACTGAGTGACACATCTTACAAATCAATAATAAATGACGTGTTAGGAAAATAGTTTAAGAGTACATTGTGTGTCCTACAAGGTTTTTAAAGCGTAGGCGGGATATCCCAGTGGTGAGTGAAGGTAGAAAATAAAACGCTTGATGTATATATCCCTGGCCTGTCTGTCAGTCTATCGTTAGACGAAATTCGTAGAAAGTAAATTTTGATTGGTCAATTTTCCAAACTAGTTGTCTGATCCCTACGAGTTTTCTTTATATATCGATCTTTATATTCTTTGTCCCACAGTATTATCCTCATTTCTCTGGGCTTCATGCAGTCGTTTACATAGGCTTACCTCATTTACAAACAAAGCATATTTGTATAATCACGAGGTGAGAAGTATTTCAAAATATTTCAAGTTGTTATTCATCGTAGGACATCAGGTAAAAGGGAAACCTAGGAGCACCGGACAGCTGTTTCGTCCTAGTATGAAGTCCTCAGCAGTGCGCACTCAACCCCGTCAGGGGTCGAACCCGCGAGCTTCGAGTTTCGTAGCCAGCACGTTACCATCGAGCCACTGGGTCAGAATCCAATGTTTGCGCTATATCGTGAGCTAACAGAAGTTGGAAATATGGACCATCAGATCCTGACCCAGTGGCTCATAGGTAACGTGCTAGCCATGGAACCTGAAGCTCGCGGGGTCGTGGGTTATGCACTGCTAAGTAGTCCCATATTGGGACGAAACAGCTGTCCAGTGCTCCCACGTTTTCTTTGTTCCTCCAACTGATGTCAGTCTACTTGAAATAAGAAAATTCATTTCTGACCTTTCTCCACGTCGTGGAAACCCCTTCTTCAGAGAATGAAATCTGTACAAGTTATCGACTGTTTAAATAGTAAATGGTGACGAATCAGATCACATCGTCTATACAAGATGATAATAATATGTCTTTGTTATGTTGGTCAAGATACGACGTTCAAACTTGTCTTTGTCCTCCATTATTAAGTATGGAGTTTAAGGTGATGTGAAGGGGGAAAAATACTATGATGACAAATCTAGTTTCTTTATGCCTATGTACTTTTGGATTAACACAGCAATTCTACCATTCCACCAAGGAATAACTGAAAAATTACAAAGAATCTTAAGGAAGTGCCGAATTAGGGTATTTTACAAGACAACCAACACTCTCAGGAATGACGTGAAAACAATTTGTTTATTGGCTACCTTTTGGCGCTACGTATCACCTTCTTCCACTCGGCAGGTACATTTCCTTCCTTCCAAGCCTTCTGCAGTAGTGGTGTGAGCATGCCTGCTGTTGTCTCCGCGTCTGTTTTCAGTGCTTCTGGCGGAATACCATCTGGTCCTGCTGCTTTCCCGGATTTCAATAGGACGAGTTATAGGTGGTGGTGGTAGTGATGAACTCAAGAGTTTTCTGAAGTGGTCAGCCCATTGTTTCCTTTGTTTATCCTCTATGCCAACCAGGTTCGCTTCACTGTCTCTCATTGGTTTCATCTGAGTTGATCTCTTCCCAGATAGTAACCTGGTTATTTGATACAAGATTGTCAGGTCTCTACCTCTCTTACCTGCAGCCTGTACTGCTTCACTTACCAATGTGTCGTAGAAGTGTCTTTCGTCTTTGCGTGCACTCTTCTTCACTTATTTGTCCAATGTAATGTTTTACAGTTTGTGTTCAATTCCTCTTTTCGTTGTTCATCCCTGCATTGCAATGCGCTGCACTGCATTGCATTGCACTGCCTCATCCTCTGCTTCACCATCTTCCCCTCCTTCGTTTATCAGCTTTTCCATGTATCTGTGGAGACCCATTGCTTGTCTTGCCTCTTCTTCTTCCTTCCTAACACGGTTATGAAGGTTTCCTTCCATGTGTCTCTTTCAAAGAGTTCCAATGTTCTTGCACACAGGTTTCCTCCTGGATGTAGCTTGATGTTTCCAATTTTGTCCTAATGTGAATGTATCCTTTGAAGTGTCGTCCTTCAGTTTCTGTTCTGGATGTTCAACGTGAAATGTGGTCCATGATCACCAGCTTCTGTGAATACTTTCAAGTTGATTTTGAAGGTAGGTAGGTTCCTTGCATTAGATGGTGAGTGGTGTGGACGTACATCTGCTCCCCTTCTTGATCTTATCTTGTGTGCAGTGGGCTTGTTGCGTTTCCACTTTCTTCACATTGAGATGAAGTGGATGTGATTTGTAGTGTAGTGTGTTTATCTGGTGACTGGTGAAATGGAATCCATATCGCTCGGTTTGTGAACATGGTTGTGATTGTACAGATTGCCTCCCTCCAATCGCCGAATCATTGAATGCACAGAATTCTGCAAACAGTTATCCATTCTTGTTCATCATTTCACCGAGTGCTTCTCGACCAATTGTCAGTTCTCTTCCTGTGTTGTCTGCCCACAGTTTGGCACTCATATCACCCATCAGAATTTTGATGTCGCCATATGTGGGTTGGGATCTTGTCCATTGGTGATCAGAGTTGTCTGTAGAGTTCCTCCTTCTCTTGATCTGCATTATTTGTAGGTGCGTGGTGTACCATTGTATGATTGTGACCTTCCTTCCTTCCCTCCCTCCTTTTGAGTTGAATTTTGGTGTCATGATCGTGATCCAGCAGGAGGAGATTAGTTCCCACTGCATGAGACACACACACACAGAGCCTTTGATGCTGTTGGGCATATCATGATAGCCACTCGAAAACTCATTGTGCTCGTGATTGTCGTCTGGGTGACAATATCGGAGTAGATTATTGACTCTCCAGTTGACAGTTTTGAGAGTTGAGTTACATATCCGGTCTGCAGCTTCCAAGCACTTCTATGCTAGATCTTCTCATCTCTTTGGGAATCTGGGCAGCCTTTCCAGGTTCATACATGGTGCAGACATTCCATGTCCCCATTCTTATTCTCGGTTTCATCTGGAGGAAGAGGAGACATCGACCAACCGGCTTCCCGAATTCTTTCACCAACTGGCATCATTTTGTCACTTTGATTCCAGCGAGGAATATGTGTTTTAATTTTTTACTTTCTTTGTGTTTTGAAGTTTCTTTAGTGATTGGATTGGTTTTATGGTGTATGGTTGCTAGCCGTATTCGAACCTTCCCCTGTTTATGAGGTCTTAGGACCAGCCAGTAACTAGTTCAGTAGTTAACTTGGCGAGGTTGGGTGCTGTGTTAGCTCTGCTCTAACTACGCAATTCACCTCTTCATCTAATCAGTCACATAGAATTCATTGCTATGTGTTTCCTGTGTTTATTATGACACCCGCATACATGTGTCAGTCCTGACACATTATCGGAATCCAAATGGGTACTTTTGAAAGGCTAACAATCGTTCTCAGATTCGTTGCAACAGTGACTTATAATGGTGTAATCTCTCTATGCCCATTGTTGGTTTGATGTCGGCGAACGTTATGTGAGACAATCTTTGTTCATGCTTGAAGTTGGATCTTGGTAGAAACAAGTGGCTGTCAGAACAAAATTATAATAGGTCATCGTTTTCGGCTTGTGTTCATAAGTTATCATAGTTTCCTCCTAGATACTTTTGTGACTTACTAAGCTTTCCTACCTGTTCACTGAAGTAGCCTAGAATTATGACTAACTGAACTTTTCTGTTTTATATAGAAATATTAACAGCTTTTGATAGAATTTATCTTATGAATGATTTGAACTGCAGTCGACCAGTACGTAGGTGAATATTTTGAGTTGGCATCAGTTAGTCTCACAATCCTTTGTAGTTCTTACCGATTCATTCAGTTGGTTAGCACAATGACTACCTGTTGAACTGGTTATCCACTCATTGGCGAAGTTATATTTCATTGGTTTATGCTGTCAACTATCAACCTCTTAGTCATGGATGTGAACAACGCTCCAATCATACTTTGGGTCTGGTTCATTGCCTACTGCACGAACGTGCACATGGTTGTTAAGTTTGTTTTAAGTAACTTTCATAAGGTGATTTTCATAATACTTCACTCCTTACTGTTTGTGATCGTTTACAAACTTATTGATTATTTTAGTTTTCACATTTGTTGGAACTTTTTTCGGTGTTGTTGATATGTGTAGGTGGTTTGAAACAAACTCCATTCGTCTTTTATAACTGATAATTTTGTGTATTCTGCAATGAGTAAATTTAACAATTCATAAATTTGAATTGAATATCTACGCAGAAATTATATTTTTCAAATAAATTTATTTAAACTGTGTGTGATGATTGAAAGTGAAATGAAAATTTGAACCGCGACCGGATTCGAACCAGTGACCTACCGGGTTTCCGGCCAGATGCTCTACCAACTGAGCTACGAGATCCGTTGGTCGCTGATTCGAATCCGACCAAATTTTTATTAAACCCAGTATAAATAGTAGTCTGCTAAACCACGGCTATCTCAGATAATCATCAATTGATATACATATTTTTGTCTAATGAGCATTATCATGGTGTTTATCTTTTCACTCGCTGTCTTAGCAGACCTGTGTTTAACTGTTATAGGATTTTGTGTAGTTATTCTCGTGTGATTGAATACTGAATGAGTTCAGGATTGTTCTTTCTAGATTCGCATTGTGTTTCGTGAAATTGCTGCATAATCACAAGTTAGGTAACATGAGACTATGATTCATTGTTTAATGACCTAATGAAATCATAAACATTTATCGAAATTATCATTATGTTGTTTGTATTATCCTATCGTTAATTGGACCCAATTGGCCGGTCTCTACTAGCCTATAGGCTCCTGTATGGATACTTCGATATTGTATGCCATTTCAATGTTATGGTAATAATGGATAGTTGCCAGAAGTAAAATTCAGGAATCCAGAGACCGGTCAATTCGGCCCAATCAACGATCGGATAATACAAACAACATCACCCACTGGGAGGCAGGTACATCCAGCTGACGAGTCCCAAATAGGATGAAACGCACCTCATGATCGAAATTAATTATATGCTTGTAGGATTTTATCACACTAATCATCTTCTACTTTCTTGTTATTCACATTGCCCTTTTTCTTTGTCTTTTGCATTTTTTGGGTGGTGTGGGGAATCCAGGTTCGTGCTACTTGTGAAATGGAGCCATGTAGTGAAAAATATTTGCGGACATCAAAAGTTTCACATAGTATTACTGACACTCATCGTTCCGGTGATACTTCAACTGTATTAATTGGTTCAGATGATAAAACTTCTTCAGCTTTTCATCAAGAAGTGAGTACACAAGACGAAGATCAAAATCGATCTATACCGAGGACATCAATAGGTCATGGTGATTATTTTGATTTCCCACAGCGTCGTCTTAGTTCACTTGGATTTCGTAATACTATATGGCCATGCGAAGTAAGTTTATTCATTCTGGTTAGTTTTTTTTACTATCTACTGGTCAAGAAGATATATGTAGGCCTATGTCTCATTGTAATATACGACTTTATTCTAGGTATACTTCTGTTCTTTGATTTCTAGATAGATTTTTCAAAACCACTTCTTCACCTTCATAGACTTCCAGGTGGAAACAGTCTTATTTGTCAACTACTGGGTGTGTTTTAGGCCTATGCATGCGTATATACACGGTGCTTTCATATCTCCGAAAGAAATGGGTAAGCAGGTTATGCTTAACTCATAGATGAGTTTTAATCCCATAGAAATTTAGCGAAATCCCACAGAGATTCTCATCCTTACTAACATCCCTGAGAAATTTGGGAGATTTTTGAAAATGTATTGCTACGAGTTAAAGAGATTTCGTTAAATATGTATTAACTTCTTATTTGGCTTGAAAAATAACTTTGAATATCGCAAATCGCTACTGTGTCTTTGTTTGTCTTTTTGTTGTTGTTGTTGTTGTTGTTGTTGAAAAAGAATTCCGATTGTGATTAAGATTTTGGTAAAATTGGTATAATTGTAGAGATAGAATTTACGGTAGTCTTCTTTGCAATATTGTAAATCAGAATCGTATATATGTTTTAAAGGCATAGTTATATTGAAGTATGATGTATCTCCTACATCTACTCATAAAGAAAATGGTATTGTAAATAAGGAAATTTACGAAACTAAACCCTTTTAAGAAGTGAAGTTTTTGTCACCTTATGACTTATCTTTCACTTCGTCGTCTAATCTTATTCCATGGTTAGTTATATATATTTTACATGGTGTTACCAGTCTCCATCCCTTAGGTATGTATTAGTTTGGCAAGTTATTTTTCCTAGGGATTTGACTTTGTTGTCATGCATGATGTTTACAGTTGGATAGCTTTTTTTTGTAAGAAGAAATATTGAACACATTCAACGGATCAGATTTAATAATCTTGTCCTATTTCTATTCTTAAGTGAAATTTTTAACCACCTAGATTGTTCATTTTAAGGGGTAACTACTAGCTGGATTATATTCGACATGCTTTTCGGGTTTAATCAAAACTTATCCGACTACGATGTAGAAGTATTGTCTATGTAATCTCCAAATTTTTTTCAAGCTATCCAAAATTCAACTCGGTGTATAGAGATGCCCATGAACGTCATGGTAATCGGTTGCACTGCATTAAATCAAATCGCTTTTGTAATCACCAGTATAGTCATTGTAACCCTGTGGCACATGTTTCGTGGCATACCAGACAGACAGACGTAGAACCTAATAGACACAAGTCCACCGTCTCATGTTGTCACACTCTCTACAGTAAGTAGCACTAAAAAGAAGAGATGGATCGAAAAAGCAGTGATATCAAAGTAGACAAAGTAATATGAGAGAATAAACAATCTAAAGACATCAAGCAGTGAATACATCTGCACCAACAGTGACTGAGTTTCATCCATGTCATCAAGAGTCTCTAATAACTGATGTCTATTGTCTCGGGGACCTCAACCAAAGTAGGTAGTCTACATCACCCCACATAACTCAGACTAACAGTCAGAAAGTTTATCGACTGGGGCTACGTCTTGATCTGGTCACCATAAACCCTTCTCCAACCTTATCTACCTTCTTCAAGCGTCATATTCCCCGTCATATTCCTTGATTCACAAACTTCGTTTATACATAGTTAAACTTCTGATGTATAACGCTCGGAAGCCTGGAATTTTTTATTTCAGACACGCTCAGATTTCCCAACTGTTGGTATTTATCATAGACTGACATCATTTTGAAAAACACTGGAAACCTGGGAACACTGGACAGCTGTTTCGTCGTAGTATGACACTCCTCAGCAGTGCACACGCATGACCCCACTAGGGATCGAATCCCAAGATCAGGTTCCGCGGCCAGCTGATATTTGCCCAAGTACAATGTATATTTAATGTCAACTTTTTACTTAACACCAAATATTTGTGAAACTATCCGGTAAAATCTTGAGTAGGATTCATATAGCTAAAAAGTAACTGTTACAATTACTTGAAATATCTCATACTGCAATCTGAATGAAGTAAAACTTCAACTTCTTTAAAGTTGTAGTTAGTTTTTAAAGGAACTAAGCTGAAACTTGATTCACAGTAGCTCTATGTTTCTGATGAATAATCATGGATTCTACTGTCATTAGTTCAATAGTTCAGTGGAATAAGTTTAAGCCACTGTATAAAATCTAAACTTTATTTTACTCATATTTTGGGTAGTCGAGTAGTAGCTTACGTTAATGTAACTAGTAGCCCTCGGTGAATGAATGATGATATGGATGTAGCTGATCTACTGCATTCCAACATATACACTAGTAATGAATGGGATGGGCCTACTGCCTGGGTGCCTCACTAAATATGGTATAGTTCGATTCTGTGATACAAATGGTTCGAACAAAGAGTATGCGCCATTATTTTTTACTCACCGTTTATTATCAATAAAGTGTTACTTAGACACGTGGAAAACTATTGACGTTCGGTTGGAGTCCATGGGACAAGAGGAACTAGTGACTGGAGACTCTAGGTGTCATATGGCTCAGAACCGATGTCAGTGACCCAGATACACATTATCCTCATCTTAACGACGCTATACCGAATCTCATCATTTGCTCATTCTTCCCTTTCTCTCCTTTAGTACTTTATATTTCTTTTGACTGAATTTTCTTTTCTTCATCTTCCACTTCACACTGCCTTTTTACTTGATGTACTGATATGAGGTATGGTAACTCAGACTGTTATGCAGTAATGCCTGGTCCTATGTTGATGGATGATGACTTTCGGTCGTATGAACTACTAACATCAGACCGATCCCTCAAATAAGTTTCATTTATATTGTATTAATGCTTTCAATTTCCCGTCGTCATCCAGGGCCGTGCTGCTCGACATCTGTTGGCGGATTGGCTCCTATGCGGATGTCTCGATACTGTCAGATATTCATGACGTTATATATCGGTGACCAGCAGGATGCACGTCTCTATCTAATTTGCACTCTGCTGGATATACCTGCAGCTCAGTAAGTGGTATTGTGTTCCCATTGAGACTTGAACCCAATACTCATCACATGAAACATCAGAACGTTATTCATTAGACCACAACAACTAAACGCTCCGTTGCATAAGAGATGGTTGTCGTGCTTCAATGGCCTAGCAGATAGTGCTTTGACGTTTGAAGCGATTTGTTCAAGTCTCAATGGGAATAATACTTGTCACTCACTGGGATGCAGGTACCATTCAATTGATGAGTCTCAAACAGGACGAAATATGCATCCTAGATTCCTTCACTAATCACCAAGATGAATATAAGTTTCATATATATATATATATATTTATGTCTACTTAATAAAGAAAAACAGCTTCAGTATTTTAACAAAACCTAACTTTTTCGAATTGTTTTTTCTTTCTTTTTATATTTTTTAGACCGGTTTAACAGGAAATGGATCAAGTGCATTTGTATGTTTCTTTCCAGATTTTCCATTTTTATTAATTTAATTGTTTCGTATTTTGAGGTGACTGGGGATAGTATTTATCACCATTAACCTTAAAATACATGACTATATACTACATATTAAGTGACATGCTTCCAGATGGGATACCCCGAAGTTCTAGTAAGAAGCCGTAATCTGTGGAGTCAATCAGTCGGAAAGGAAGTGGATACTAACTGAAGACCTTCGGTCGCAGTTGTGCTATACTGCAAATTGACAGAAGTTGAAAATTGTGAACCATTGAACGAATTCCAAACCATTGGTTGAATGATTTAATGTATTCGCTGTGAATCCTGAGGGCTGTGAATTCCATCTCTAGCCAGGTTGTGAGTGCGTAATGCTGAGGAGTTCAATACTAGGATAGTACAGCTTTTCGACAACCCCCAGGTTTTCAGCGGTTCTCCAGTTGATGTCAACCTATGATGAATACTACATCTTAATTGTGTTCCATTTCTACCATTTCGCAGAGTCATTGTTAATTTGGTAAAATATCACCTCTTTTTCTCGCCTATCAGCCCCCCATCCATTCGATGTGATGGAACTGATAGCAACAAATAGGGCTAGTTGTTAGTTTATTGTCAGATTCAGTGGTTTCTCGACAGGAAAATGCACTCCTGATTTGTCTTTTGTTATTATTATTATTTGTCCTTTGGGTTCCTAATGGAACATAAGGCTTCAGTAGCGTGTCTCTAATGCGCTCTGTTCTCTGAAATCTTTTGAACCTGGCTCCACGACAGCCCACAAGCTCTCATTTCCTCCTTGCACGATCTCCTCCATGTCACCCTCACCTAGGACGTCCAACTCGTCGCTTCCCATGGGGATTCCACTCGAGGGCCTGGCCTGACGCATGATGTCCCCTATCGGCCTTCTCAGTGTATGCCCAATCCATCTCCACTTCCTTCAACTGCATATTTGTTGGGTGATAGGTTGTTGGTTTGTTCGTTGGCAGCCAGCCAGAGTTCCTTGTTGCTTATCCTTACTATTCTGGCCATGTGACCTTCAGTAACCAGCCGGCGTTAGAAGTTGTTGATGAATGTCTGTAGTTTGTTGGAAATGCTTTTCGTAAGGCGCCAAGTCTCTTAACTATCACTTAGAAGCACTGACTTGACGTTGGTGTTGAAAATCCGGACCTTGTTCTTTATGCTGAGTGCAGATTTGTCTTTTAACATCCAGCAATTTTCTTCGTCCCACAGCTTAATGGTCTCTGAATTGTTAGTTTTGTGCTTCTACCGTTATTATTATGTCAGCTTGCTGTTAATTAGAATACTAATAAAAGGTTAGTCAGACAGAATTTGAAGAGCAATCGACGCAGGTAAGTAAAATTCTTCTGTTCAGCAATCATATTTCTATCCTATGGGTATCCCTAGGAATCAGTTTACACAGAGATACAGTATGAAGTACCTGATGACATCTATCTTGCTTAGTTTAACGTCTGTATAAGAGCGTTAACACCACTCTGCGCTGGAGATGTGGCGCACTGGTTTAGCATTTGTCTCTGTGTGTTCAGCGGATGAAGGTGCTGTAATCCCTCATCAAATCATTATCTATGATAAGGTAAAGGGAGCGGGATAAACAAATGTTCAAGGTAAAGTTGAGCATCAGGGAACAACAGTCACGAACTGAGAAAGATACGAGTACCCTACGATGTTGAATGATTATAACCGAGATGAATAATCAGAGTTGCACTGAAAATGATAATATTTTGAAAGAATGTGAGTCACACTACTCAATATTAGTGAGTAGTACAAAGCTTAATGCATAAAACGTTACGAGCGTAAACTTGAGATAGAAAGAACTTAGAACGCAATAAGTAAAGAATTAGCAAAGGCTATGAAAATCACGTCATCCCTGGGGTGAGATATAGCATCCCATTGTAATTTCTACTTGTAAGTATATTCGGGTTGCAATAGGTTTGCTTAGAAAATATTTTACGGTAATTTTGATATGGGTATAGAGAGAAACAACTAGTCTGGAGAGAGGGACTAATCACTCCTTCAGTAAAACATGCAGACGGAGAATCAGCATATCAGTGTTACTATTTTAAACAGCAAACTATCTATATATATTAGCTGTATTCTCCTTTGTTTTTGGTCTTCTGTCTTTCAGCTGTAATACACGTTTCTACACGTCCACCTGCATTAATTAGTCGAGTCGGGAATCAACTAGGAATTTGTTGAATACTGGTGACTGATACTCGATGTCCATGCATCGTTAGCAGCGATAATGGCATAGTAGTCTTTTAAACTATAACACATATTCATGTCGTAGGTGGTATTACCTGATTATTTCGAAAGGTTTCTTTTATATAAATTTCAGGATATTTTAATACTTTTCCCTCAGAGGACTTTTTATCAGCAGAATGAATAAAATACCAACGTTTTCTTTTCAAACGAAACTTCATCGTTATGAGCTAGAATTTACAATACTATCTACATCTGATTTAACCTTTCTCCTAATACTATGAAGTCGCTTCATAGGTGGTATATTTCAGTAAAACTTAACTTTCCTTTCTATGGCATATTCACTTCTTGTACAAGTAGGTAACGGCGTGTTGTCATATCGTCTTGACTTTTGTATAATGTCATCTCTCCTGACAATTCTCTCTGGTGGTTGTCTATTTCGATCCAGTAGGGTATTCTTCTTCTTCTTCTATGTTGTGTGTGTGTGTGTATACCGCAAAAAGCGGTACTCAAAAATAGTTTTTAAAAAAGTATCTTTCGTATACCTTGCCTCGAATGTTGCTCTTGTAGGAAACTATCAGAGAAAACAATTAGTCTTTTTAACACTTCATTCAGCTGAAAGAATAATATTCTGATCAATGGTTGTTATTGTTCATACTGTACGATTTCGCTCTCAGGTATAAGATGATGTATCTATCCTCGGCTAACTTCATATAACTCACTATATAACTAAGTTTCAATATAATCCAAACGTGTTTAGAAAATCGAAAAAACAAAGATTTTTCTTAACATCTCACTGTGTTATGCCACAGTTTCTTCAGTAGAATATTCGGAGTTTTATTCAACATCAAATGGTATATATATATATATATATATGAATTTTTGTTATTATGTCATTGGTTAACTGTTAAGATGAGAAAAGTAAGACTGAAGAAAAGTCGTGGATGTAAATAATGACAATTTCATGCAGGAAAAAATTACTTCAGAACAAACGTAAAGAGTTTGTATTAAGTATGCTATTAATGTATATTTCAAGCCTTCAAATTCTTTGAAGAAAGAAGCCTTAGTCAAAGTGAAAGATGTGATTCCAGAGATGACCCAAAACAACTGTGTGTACAAGATAAAATGTACAGAATGTGGAACCAATTATATTGATAAAAGTTGTAGACAGCTGAAAGTTAAATTGAATGAACATAGATTATGTAGTAAACACTTACCAAGGAATGAAGTGGAATTGATGAAAAGTTTAAAAAAGCGGTGAGCAATAGAAATGCACGTCATTGAAAGTGAGCACAAAATTGATTTTGACAGTGTTGACGTATTAGCGAAGGATTTCCTTATATATAAACAAAGATTGACCTCAGAAGCCCTGCGTATTTTAACGTCAAGAAATGATTTAGACAATAGAAAGGAAGGAATTGATTTGTCACCTATCTGGCAGACTCTAATTCAACAAAAACACTGAAAAGGTAATCATTTGACTATCTCAGATAGCCGTAGTTTTGAAATAATAATGTGGAATATTTGTAGCTCAGGTGGATGGTCTTGGTTGTATTGTGTTCTCTGTGCTGGGTTGTTGAACCGCGAAGCTTTCATCGTCTTTCTGGACGACATCAACAGCACTAACCTCAGTATAAAGTTTCTCCTCTTTGCTAACTACATTCCCTTCACTATCTTTCATTGGTTTCATCTGAGTTGATCTCTTCCCAAATAGTAACCTGGTTATTTGATATAGTCTTGTCAGATCTCTACCTCTCTTACCTGCAGCCTGTACTGCTTCACTTACCAATGTGTCGTAGAAGTGTCTTTCGTCTTTCCGTGCACTCTTCTTCACTTCTTTGTCCAATGTAATGTTTTACAGTTTGTGTTCAATTCCTCTTTTCGTTGTTCATCCCTACACTGCACTGCATTGCATTGCACTGCCTCATCCTCTGCTTCACCATCTTCCCCTCCTTCGTTTATCAGCTTTTCCATGTGTCTGTGGAGATCGATTGCTTGTCTTGCCTCTTCTTCTTCCTTCCTAACACGGTTGTGCAGGTTTCCTTCCACGTGTCTCTTTCAAAGAGTTCCAGTGTTCTTCCACACAGGTTCCCTGCTAGTATGGAGTTAGTGCTGTTGATGGCGTCCAGAAAGACGATGGAAGCTTCACGATTCAGCAACCCAGCTCCTCGGAGAATACAATACAACCAAAATAGCCATAGTTTGGCAGACTAGTATTTTATACTGAGTGATGGATGATTAAAGGTTGATATAAAAATTTGGACCTCGATCGGACTCGAACCATTGACCACACCGGGTTGCCGGTCCGGTTCTCTCCCGAAGGAGCTACTAAGCCCTTTTCTGATTTAGTTACATTTGGATTGGGATGAGAAGTCTTGACTTGGCAGGTAGTATGAATACGATCAAGTGGTAGTAACGTGTGACGAATTTACATGGTAGTCGGGCAGCATTCGAACCTCATAGATCAGTTGACAGAGCACTGGCAAGAAACTCGGTGATTCGAATGCGCCTGCAGTCCAAATTTTCATCTCACCTTTAATCATCCATCACTCACAGTATTAAATAGGATCACATTTCAAGTTGCACTTTTAAAAAGCAAACAAACAATATAGGTCAATTTTGAGGGAGTTGTGGAGATTTGAAAATATTTCAAGTTGTTATTCATCGAAGAGTGACATCAGTTGGAGGAACAAAGGAAACCTGGGAGCTAACAGAAATTGGAAATATGGAGCATTGGATTCTGACCTAGTGGCTCAATGGCAACGCGCTGGCCGCGGAACCTGATAGGTCGCGGGTTCGATCCCTGCTAGTGGGGTCGTGGGTGCGCACTGCTGAGGAGTGCCACACTAGGACGAAACTGCTGTCCAGTGTTCCCAGGTTTCCTTTGTTCCTCCAGCTGATGCCAGTCTTCGATGAATAACAACTTGAAATATAGGTCAATTATTGTGTATGTGTAAACATGTTTTTATACAATAAACAACAAACTATGCATACATTTTGCATAAAATTTATGCACACACGTTTATTGAATTGTTTTTTTTGATGACAATTGATGAAGACTATGAACTTACAAAGGCTGACTAGAAACTATCAGTCTGAATAGCAAAACAGTTAACCAACGACATAATAACAAAAATTCATATATATACCATTTGATGTTGAATAAAACTCCGAATATTCTACTGAAAAACTGTGGCATAACACAGTGAAACGTTAAGGAAAATCTTTTTTTTCTATTTTCTAAACATGTTTGGATTATTCCAAGTTGTTATGATGGACTGACATCAGTTGGAGGAACAAACGAAACCTGGGAGCACTGGACAGCTGTTAGGTCGTGGTATGGGACCCCTCAACAGTGCGCACCCACGACCCCTCGACCTTCAGGTTCCATGACCAGCACGTTACCATTGAGCCGCAAGGTCAGAGTCCGATGGTCCATACTGCCAACTTCTGTTAGCTCATGATATAAAGCAACCGCCACCCAATGTCATCGTTGAGTAACTGTCCTCACGACCTTCAGGCCAAGGTCGCGGGTTTGATCCCTGGTGGGGTCATGGGTGTGCACTACTGAGGAGTCCCATACTAGAACGAAACAGCCGTCCAGTGCTCCCAGGTTTCGTTTGTTCCTCCAACTGATATCAGTCCACGATGAATAACGATTTGAAATATTTCCAAATCCCCAGAACTCCCTCAAAATGTTTGGATTATATTAAAACTTACGTATGTATAATGAATGAACCTGACGGCGGTCAGTTTATTTCAATATATATTCATAACTACTATGACCTGAATGTGTTATAACTTCACATGATCTTCTTAACATGGAATTAATTGACGTGTATGGGTGAACTGAGTCAAATGCTATAGAGAGATGAATTCGACTAGATTTCATAGTGGATTTAGTGTTACTATTGCATCGTATAATTGTCAAATAGCGGAGAATATTTGTAGCTCAGGTGGATGGTCATGGCTGTATTGTGTTCTCTGAGCTTGGTTGTTTAATCGTGAAGCTTTCATCGTCCTTCTAGACTACATCATCAGCACTAACTTCAGTATGAAGTGGACTGTCAATATCTCTCCGTGAGTGATTTAGTAGCTTGCACTGACAAAGTGGTTTGTGATTGGTTTTTTCCTTTGATTGTTGTGTCATTGACTGACTGTATAGATTTTCCTGTTGGCTGTCTCTCCGCTTGACCTCTGACATTTCTGTTATTTATCATCTTTCTTATTGGATGGTAGATCAGGTCTATGTCTATACATCTGTTGATTGCTGATTGACCTGAATGTCAAGCTTGTAGGAACTCTCTGATATTCTTTGTGTTCCCTCTCTCCGTCCAAAATTTCTACATTGTCGAAATTGAATTCATATCCATAATTATCCACATGTATTGAAATGAGTGATGAAATGTCGTGTGTGAGGTTTAATAGCCAATTGGTGTTCATGTAGACGAAGGCGAACAGGGCGACCACTTTGTCCAATATAGCATTGACTACAGTTATTCCAGTTGATTTTGTAAATGATATTCGGTTTGTCTTCTTTGATTGTTGCATCCTTCGGTCTGCATAAGAGTGTTTCGAGGGAATTTGTTGGTTTATGTGTAGCCACATCAATTCAAACAAGTGGTTTCAGTAATCTTGTCGTGATTTCTGGTATATTCTTTATGTATGATAGGACAATGCGTCTGTTGATTTCTGTTGTTGACTTTGTAGTTGATGATGCATGGGATAGGCATCTTCTGATAAAGTTTCATGGGTAGCCGTTCTTCTTTAGGATGGATATTAAGTAATTTTCTTCGTTTCTCTTTGAAGTTGTTGTACTGCAGTGTGTTCTCACTCTTCTTAATAGAGTCTGCACGTAATTGATTTTGTGTGTTGTTGGGTTGTTGTTATTGTAGTTGAGGATTTGATCAGTCAGTGTGTGTTAACTTCCTGTACACTTAGGTTTCCAGCAATTTCTTCTATTGACTAGAACATCCAAGAATATTAGTTGGTTGTTTGATAACCAGCTACTAAATCATTCACAGAGAGATATATAGACAACCTACTTCCTACTGATGATATCGTCTAGAAAGATGATGAAAGCTTCACGATTTAACAACCCAGCTCCATATTATGATCAAATTCAATTGTTCAATATAAATGTATAATAAATTATAATTTTTCTTTCTTTCTAGACATGTACATTATTGTGAGTTCTAATGATCTAATGAATACAGAGAAGGGAGATAATTTTCTCACAAAAATACACAAATCTTATTCATCCATCATCTTCATGAAATAAGATCAAGTTAGATTTCATTTCTATTGACTATTTATTACTTTATTTTATTATTCATCTATTGTTTATCAAACTTATTTGACTGTCATCTCATTTTATATAGTATAATTCATTGAATAATTAACCCTTTATACCTTTTCTGCTTACTCATTAATTTAAATAATAAAAAGAAAAATGGGTTTTTTTTTAAACTTTTTTGTTGTTTTCTCTTCTTCATAAACTAACCTCTCTGATAATGTCATATGTGTATGGGTTAGTTTATACTCCCCCGCCCGCCCCCCCCCCTCCAAGTGTTATAGACCGGTTGTTATTGTCTTTGTTGCTGTCATCATTGATGACTATGACTGAATTTCCTTTTTCTAGCTCTTGTGATATACTCTATTCATTATTTTTCAATGTTGCGTGTACTTATATATATTATCTCCGCTTTATATGTATTGTGCATATTCTATACTTCATTTGTTGGTTGTATAGGGATGACAAACTTTATCTATTCAAAATGTTATTACATCTTCATGTAACTTATCATTTTATGCTACATATAAATGTGTTTTTTTTTTCGGGGGGGGGGGGGTAATTATTTCGTTTGCTTTTCATCCAGTTGTGTGTGTTTCTTCCCCCTCTCTCTCTCTAACCCACTTTGTTGTAACACACACACACATCGAATTCAATGGTTGGTTGGTTACATGGTAAGGTGCAAATCTTTTGGGCGGATATGAAATTACTTTCAGCTGATAACTTTCAAACATTATGTATTGTTTTCTTATCTGTATATTCTCTGATATTTTTCGGTTTATAATCTTATACAGATGCTGAACTTTGTAACCTCCCGGAAAAAATAAAACATATCGGAGAAATTGTGTTGCTTTAACACACGTATGAAGTCATCATTTTTCTTTAAAAAACAAAAAAATTTTTTTGTTTTCTGATTTCTCGCTTGAGCATTATCTTGTTAAGACTGTTGTATCGTATAACGGTGATTGTCTAATATAACCGGCGAAAACAATATGCATATTATCTTCGTTCATAGATAATAAAAATAGTTGTTAAGCAAGCATAATGCTGAAGATTTGTTTGTATTGTTGATTGTCTGTGTTGTTGTGAATACTGCGTACTCGTTTGTTATGTAGCCTCTTCATTTTTATATTATGACTTTATTCTCATCAGTATGAATGAGATTGACTTCTACTGTCACTGATAAGTGCCATAGTGTTATGCTTAATGCAGTTCTGATACCTAGGAGAGAAAGAGGGGAAATTATTACGGAGCTGAGCATAAAGTAAATCCTCATAGTAATAACGAGAGAGAAGTGAACTTCTCCATCCTAATTTATTTGGTTGCGGCTGGCAGAAGAATTCAGTATGCGTGTTTCGTCCTACTTAGGACTCGTCAGCTGGGTATACTTCCACCTGAGTGGATGATGTTGTTCCCACTGAGACTTGGACCTCGTACCCATCGCTTCAAACACCAAGGTGTTATCCACTGGGCGACGAAAGCATGATAGCATATCCATAAATAGTAATTCTCTATCCTAGTCGACTAACCAGTAGTAACCACTGTTGTCTATGGATGCATCTCACCGATAATCATCTAACGAGCATAAACTACAGGATTACTTGGTTTAGCGACCACTTAGTTCAGCAAGCATCTCATTTAGTGAAAATAAGTAAAATGTAGACTGAGTGGAAACACCGCTCATCTTGTTGAAAAAAATTGTTGTAAAACTTTAAGTAAACTGTAGTACGGTCTAACTATCTATCTGTAGATTATCTAAAGTTAGTGTTTCGGAAATGGTAGTTTGCATAAAATAATACTCAATACTATGATAAATTGATTGTCTCATTGTATACGGAATGGTCGCGATTGCTGCAACTTCAGTGTATCATGCTTATCTTTTGTTCATCGTAGTTTTTTAAACTGCTCACTCTAAGACTCTTTCTAGTATTTCAAATAAATATTGAACCCTATTTATCGGATTTTTTTGATACTATTTTTCAGTGGTTTGCATGTATGAGAGGGGTTTCTCACTGTGTATAACAAAACTTTCAGGCGATTTTTCGTTATTCTGTTGAAGTCTGCTTGGTAACTAGCAGTGGGATTAAGGATGTGTGTTGTCCTATTTGGGACTCGTTAGCTGGATGTACGTCCGCACCTCAGTGTTTGATGTTACTTCAACTGAGATTTGAACCCACTACTTATTTATCGCTTCAAACACCAAAGTCTTATTCATTAAGCCAATCATTCCATTGATGTCTGCATAGTGAGTAGCAATGGCTAAGCAGGCAGTATCGAGGAATGCGCATAGGAGCCCATCTGCCAACAGAGGTGTGGTAATCCCACCTTGTGTATAGCAACGAGAAACTACAAATATAAATAATTATCGTCATTGTGTTTGAATGACTCTTCAGTTTAATCAAAGATTTAAACCGTATTCTTGCAAGTATGCCTTTCCTAGAGTGAATGAGTTCTACTGGTTTTCTACTATAGTAGTGAAAAGGGATGAGAAAACAGACGAAGGATGGGATGTTTATTGTTAACAAATGGGACAGTAATTGTTAAATATGGTATACCTTGCATTAAGAACCGTCATCTGCAAAATATGCTTCATTTCCTCTTCTGCTTCTCTCCTGATTTACTCTTGATACACCTGCTTTTCTCTTGGCGGAATCCTTACCCATTGCTGGTAATTCCCTACGATTTCTGCCACCCTCTCAACATATACTACCTTATATCCATTCTTATCAGCAACCCCCACTATAGTAGAACTAAAACAGCTGGTTTTTATGAAAAAGGAATGCTTTAGTTTGTATCTGACTGTGTGTTTTTAACCTATATTGATTTATGCACAATTTGAGTTAGTGATCAACAGGAACCACTAGAAATTAAGAGATGCTGAACAACTGCTTCATGACAAAAACTTGCATACCTTCAAACTATTCTGAAATCTAATTTAGTGTGATTGTATTCTCTTTTTAACACCACTGTTGTCAATCATTGAACTATCACCAAATGATTCAGCAATTACATTCTTGTTATTAAACCTTAATTATGGTTTTTAGAAATTGTTTTACCGTCTACTACTTCTTATATATGTAGGTTAACTTTTAGTTGTTTTTTTTTTATATCTTAGGCATCAACCAATAAAATTTCTCAATCAGGTCAAAGGACTTTGACTTCATTTTTCTCTAGAACAGCGACAGGAACAGGGAGTTTAATTTCCCGAAGTCTCCATCACAAGAAGATCATAAAAGAAAGATTTCTTCATCTGAAAATGATAATGATACTGATTTACCTTCAAAAATACTATGCAGCGATGAAAATAAATTACCTAATGATATTTCATCATCCCCATCATTAACCTGTGAGTGATGTAATATCATGCATATTGTATATATATATATATATATATATATATATATATATATATATATATATATATATATATATATATATATATGTTTTCAGATTTCGCTTAAACTTTTACCAGATATCGAGAAAAGTTGTCTTATAGCGAGATTCAATTTTGTGTTATTCGTGATGGATGGTGATGTATCCAGGGGTGCACATGACAGTTGGGTGGGACACCGTAGGTGATTGATGTTAAGAACTGCGTACCAAGTCAGTCTGTAGAGCTCTTGGTCGGTAATCCCGGAGTCCGCTGTTCCGAGTCCTGGGGAAACCTATTGTTTCACTTCACCTTAAATCATCATTCAGTATCAAAGAAAACACTTATATGCATTTTTCGCTTCGGCTAGAGGTTTACAACCTCATCAACTGACTTTTCTCTTTTACTCAAGTTGCTTCTAATATCTGTTGCCAGCTCGTTGTAAAATGTAATTCAACCAGATACATGTTTATTTTATGGACTGTGAACTACGTTTGCTGTATGGTTATCTATGATACTACCTGTTTGCTCAAATTGAAGTAGGTTGAGTGAATTTCAAATCCGCGGTTCACTTCATGCAGGTCGATTCCCTGAGCCAATGAACCTTTTCTTCAACGACTGTTCAACATCTGTGGCATTCTTGTGTCCACTTGTTGGCTTCTAAGGATCTATTGATTTGAAATTATTTCATCATCATGAGTTGAAATCAATCGGAGAAACACTAAAACCTTTGCAGCACTGCACAGCTGTTTCTTCCTAGTTTGAGGCTACTTCGCAGTGCGAACTCAAGTTGGGAGTGAGATGAATGCCCGACGATGACATTATATGTTAGTTGCACCATTTCGTGTTTTGGAAAAAATAGGATCAATAGACTAAATAATTGCGTGCTCGCCCCTAGATCTAACGATCCTGCTGTCGTGGGATCGGTGGTGTGCACAACCGTAGTCTTATTCTAGAGCGAAACAGCTATCCAGTATTCCAAGGGATTTAGTGTTTATAGAATCGATTCCAATCCATGATGGGAATTACCCTCGATGTAATGACTGTTTTACAGCCATACAGGAGAAGGAGAGATTAATTCACTGCGAGGTTTACTCAACCCTTATTATGTAACCAGATTTGTCAATGGTACCAATTCATCGAGCTTCAATCAATCTCTTTGTATTCATGTCGAGATTTCATCGACCACTGATCCGCACCAAGAGCTGGTGCGAAATCTCAATTGACTGGTGTTCGATTTGCCCAACCAATTCAGTCTTTGTTACTATGACTCAGTGGTTTAGGGAGGCGACTGTCAACTATTCGGGTCGCGGGTTCGAGCCCCGCTTCATCTAGCGAACGTTGACTATTAGTCATCAGTATTTATTGATACTTGTAATTACCTGTTGTTCTATCTGTGGTTGGTTCGAATTTCAGTGGGAACAACCCTTACTGGGGTGCATGTATATCTAGCTGATGAGTCCCAAATAGAACGAAACACGTCCTACATTTCACTGGTGATCATCATCAACCAAACTACAACATGATGATTATGAGTGTTGACGGAAAAACATTGATGTGAAAATTTATTTAATTACGAGTTTACTTTATGTAGTGCTTGGTGTGTGTTGGGGGGTGACATGAGTTCTAACAATAAGCGAAACGAAATAATGACGCAACTAGATACTCTGATTGGATACGAATAATACGACTGTTCTCCCCCACACCCTATACTTCACTGACCTGCGAAAATCAGAAGACAAAAGACCGCTTGTGTTGTGACTGAGTGGTGGGGTTGCTCGCGTGGGTATAATGGATACTGAGACTCAATAAACACCTCAACTGAATACCTTCATGACTGACCTTCCTCAGTACCTTCTGCTTCACTTAGCCGCGGTAAAATCAGAAGACAATGACGGCCCGCGACTGCAAGAACAGCGACAACAACTTTTATTAGACAAATACATGAGATATATGTATTTACAAAACCCTCAGAAAGTGAAGCCACAAGTGAACCAGTCAGATTTCTTGTACGAGGTCGATTTCCTCCAATCAGATTCTCATGTCAGTGTATGCAAAAATCATGACCTGAACATGATTTGATCACGACTTGAAAACTCCCCCATTGCCTGCCTTCTTGTCGCTACGTAACAGCTTGTGACTGCAAGAACAGCAACAACAACCTTATTAAACAGATACATTACTATTATTATTGTTATATGTCCCTTGGGTTCCGAGTCGAACAAAGGGCTTCAGTTGTTCGTCGCTATTTCGCTCTCTTCTCTACAATCTTTCCAACCTGACTCCACGACTACCTACCCCTAAGCTTTCATTTATTCCTCACACCATCCCCTCCGACACCCAACTCGTCGTTTCCCATTCGGGTTCCACTCGACGGCCTGGGCTGGTTTGTCACGTGCTGTCCCCAAACCGTCTTCTCACTGTATGTACAATCCAATCCAATCCAACCCACCTCCACTTTCTTCTTCTGCATGTGTGTTGGGTGATGGGTTCTTACTTGGTTGGTTCGTTGCCTGCCTGCCTGCCAGCCAGAGTTTCTCCTTGCTTATTCTTATTATTCTCACCATCTGATCTCATCTTCAGTATCGAGTAAACGTGGATGGTTGCTATCGATGAATGTCTGTAGTTTGTTAAAAACACTTTTCGTAAGGCGTCAAGTCTCTCAACTATCACAATAGAAACACTGACTTCACGTTGGTGTTGAAAATCTCGATCTTGTTGTTTATGCTGAGTGCAGTAGATCTTCACATTGATTTCAAGTTAATGAAGGCCTGTACCGCTTTTTCGTGTTGGCTTTGACATCCTAATGTGTGCCTGTGGTGCCTGTTGTTGAAATGATGCTGTCTAGGTAGATGAAAGAGGCTACTTCGTTTAGATTTCTCCCGTTGATGTATATATATACAAAATTCTCACAAAATGAAGCCATCAATGAACCAATCCGATTGGTTTTATGACTTCGAATTTATCCAATCAGGTTATCATGTTAGTACATGCATCAGTCATGATCACGAAACAATTTCTCTATTGTCTGCCTTTTTTTGTCGGTACCTATCAAGTGCAACATCAATATATTCGTCCTATCACCTAGTCAAGATTGTTTACTCTAAATCATACTTAACTTGATTTATATACTTTTTGTTTTTCGAATAATTTAATAATTATTATTTATTTTATTCTCCTACAGTGAATAAAACATCTTCAAAACTTCTCTCAGGAAATAATCCATTATGGCCAATAGGTAATATGAAAAAGATGGTCAACAAGATTTCAGAAGTAGATACTATTACTATGAATAAAATGATAGCTGAATGTCGAAGAAAATTATCTTCTCGGTCAAATAAAAATGTACTCCAATTAATTCAAGGTATATCAAATGAATGGTTTGTTATATTACTGCAACAAATTGAAAGTGATAAATTTCAACAGTTGGCTAATTTTATTGCTAAAGAACAAAGTAGTGGAGTAACAATCTATCCACCTATTGAACAAGTATGTACATTCTTATTTTATATGAAAATACTTATCCTGTGAATTGACTAGTTAGACTACTATATTTCAATAATTGAATGCGTTCCATCCTCAACATATTATATGATAACTCATCATCATTATCAACATAGGACCAGGCATTACTGCGTAACGGTCCGAGTTGCCACACCTCATATCAGCACATCAAGTAAAAAGGTAGTGAGGTGAAGGATGAAGATAAGTGAATGCAGTCAAAAGAAATATAAAGTACGAGAAGAAAGGAAAGAGGAGTGACAAAATAGTGAGATTCGGTATAGCGTTGTTAAGATGAGGATAATGTGTGTATACATCTGCGCCACTGACATCGGTTCTGAGCCATATCACCTAGGGTCTCCAACCACTGGTTCCTCTTGTCCCGCCAACCCCAACCACCTAGTCTGCATCGTCCTACATGGCTTAAACCAACAGTCAGAGACTTCATACATTGATGCCATGTTTTAGTCTGGCCACCTCGGGCCTTTTCCAGCCTGAACGCACCTCAGCCAACATTGTGTGACGAGGCAATCGGTGACTAGGCATACGTAGTACGTGTCCCAACCATCTCAGTCGATGAAGGTTCATAACCTCGTCAACTGACTTACCTCTTCTCCCCAAAACTCTACACCTGACTTCTGCATTACTCACATGATGACACCACGGAATACGTCCTATTCTACGAAGGCAACGGTGGTCAAACACCTGAAGCCTTTTTGTATCCTCCACTTTCAATGGCCATGTTTCACAGCCGTATAGTAGAACAGAGCGGACTGCTGTGCAGTACACGTGACGCTTAATAGACAATCGGATATCACGGCGACGCATACATCGTTTCATGTCTGATGAATATGCAGACATGAAATGATGTATGCGTAGCATATAGTTAACAGGTAACCGATGTACTCCGCTGAAATGTGATTCAATCAAGAGGAAGAGCTAAGTGGGCAAAGGTTCACTATTCAGGTAGAAGTCTGAATATCGTCGAAGCATACTATATTTACCACTAAGTTTTGGCGATGATCAGTCGTTTGGGTGCTTTCATGAACCGTATACTAAGTTAATACCTGTTATGAATTTGTTTGACTTAGAATTTCTAGGTTTTCCAATTGTAATCACTTATATCATGGTTCGTTTAAAACCAGTAGGTCTTCTACACAGTATCTACTCTTCTTACATTAAACCGTAATCTTATTTGCATCTCTTCAAGCTGAACTTTTGATTCAAAGTAAAAGGGAGAGAAGAACAAAAATGGCGAACAGAGTGTATGAATTAATGGTAGAGGGATGGAAAAGTATTTGATAAAAAACCACGATTAAAGTGGGTTGAAAATGATTGAAATATGAATCGGGTTTATGAAAATATGTCAGACAATAGTGGGAAATTTGGACCGCGGCCGAATTCGAACGAGCGACCACTGAGTTTCTGGACCGATGCCATACCAACTGACCTACGAGGTCCGGCTGCTGACCAGATTTTTTTCTATTTCACCAAGAGTTTTGCTCGACTACCATGTGAATTCGTCACGCGTTACTACCGCTTGATCGTATTCACACTGGCTGCCCACCAGTCAGGCTTTCTCATCCCAATCCAAATCTAATTGAACCAGAGAGGTGGAGCATCATATTGATTATCATTTGACTATCTGCGATAGCCTTAGTTTGGCAGACTAGTATTTATACTGGGTTAGATTGGGATTGGGATGGGAAGTCCTGACTGGTGGGCAGCCAGTGTGAATACGATCAAGCTGTAGAAACGCGTCACGAGTTCACATGGTAGTCGGGTAAAATCCTTGGTGACTGAAGTGAAATTTTTAAAAAAATCCTGGTCAGCAGTCGGACCTCATAGGTCAGTTGGTAGAGCATCGCTCCAGAAACCTGGTGGTTGCTGGTTCGAATCCGACCCCAGTCCAAATTTTCATTTCACCTTCAATTATCACCCAGTATAAATACTAGTCTGCTAAACTACAGCTATCTCAAATAGTCAAATAATGATAATCTCAAAGAATAAAATGGTAAATAAAGCTAATGTAAGTGAAAAACTGTGTGGTAGAGTATAATTAGACAAAATATATGATGAGTCATTCCTGTTACTTACGTGTTGGATGTGGATTCAATGAATAAACATTCCGTGACTAATCTTCCCCTCCACCTAACTATATCGTCACGCTATAGTGGGGATTATGAGCCAGTGCATGCAGAGCGATAGTCAAGTTTTTCTCTAAATTACTTACCTTATTAAAGTCTGCCACGGTATGTTTCACTGAATTTTTGTGTTCTCCCATTCTCACAGACCCCCAGACAGCTACTTTGACCTATATACTTGACCTTACATGGTATTTGATAGATTAGGTTTTTTTTCTTAATTGGCTCTACTGGATCTTTTAACTTTCAAAGTTTTTCTGTGAATGAGTTTCTGGGTTTAAATGTCACCCTAATCCCAGCATCATTAAGTATTCTACGTTAAGTTCCTGACTTACCTTCTTTATACGCCAATACTACACAGGATTTGAATTCCCTTTTAAGCATATTGGAATTACCACTACTATTGTTTTGGGGGTTGCTGATAACAGTGGCAGGAATCATAGGGAATTACCGGCGATGGGTAAGATTTCTGCCAAGAGCAACGCAAGGAATGACGCAGGCATATTACAGTGGATGCTGCTGATAAGAATGTATGAAGAGCAGATGAAGAGCAAATGAAGAAAGGAACAGAAGGAGAACGAAGCACATTTGCAAATGACTGGGTTAGTGCAAGATGTGCCATATGTAATGACTACCGTCCCAATTATTCCACAATAAACATTCTTTCCGCCGTGTTTATCTTCTGTCTCTACACTATTATTACTCTTTCTATTATAATCCCTTATAAAGTTTTCAATAAATTTCAGAGGATAGTTATTAAGACTTAATGTCGTCTTTGTGATGTATTTCATCTCTTTATTTAGGCTTTCCAACTTACTAGTCACACTCCTAGTCCAATTACGTGAACATCTTATCAAGTCTACTTTGACATATGTAGGGTGAGATGATGTGAAATCCAAGCATCTATTGAAATATGTTGATGTCCTATTAACACTGTTATCTAAACTTTCATCTTCTCTCTCTTCTTAATTTTGTCATCCAACATTAGGGTAATTCTCCTACTTTATTTTCTAATTCATAAGTGGATTGGCTTTCATCTATTATTGAGTTAATCTGTGCGAAAAAAAAATACTCTGAATGTGTTCTAATTTAAACAACACAGTAAAATGTGTTATCTACTCATCGCCACCATACTTTTCAGGTTTGGAGTTGAAATATTCTTAATACGATTTATTCCTAACTGTTTATGAAATATATCTACTACAATTGTCGATCCCATCGGTAAATAATTTTTTTTTTAATGGAAACTTAAATTCTATTACTGAGTTCATGGTCAGTAATGAGTTCATTTCTGATTACTGTAAGTATAATATTTATTGATATATTTGTAGAGAAGCTTGTCATATCCAAACCGACCATCTTTTCACTCTCTTCTGGAATTGTATATTATTTAGTCTATGTTTCAGTTTGAATGAATTGGTGAGTTTAGATTCTGAACAATTTCCAGCTAACGAGTCCCAAATATTATGAAATGCGCATCCTGGATTCCACTGCTAGCCACTATCCATCATTACTAACATTAGAGCACTGGTAATATCGAGGCTTCCGCACAGGATCCCATATACCAATGGAGATCGATCGATTCTGTCCAATCAACCACGGTATGATATAAAAACAAATTATATATACTAAAACCTATACTCGTCTCACAAGAAGTGGCTATCGTGGCTCGATGGTGTTAATGGATAACGCTCTGGTGTTTGAAAGCGATCACTCCTGAGTTTGAACCATGGTGGGAAGAACATCACTCATTGGGAAGCAGGTACATCCAGCTGACCAGTGAGTCCCATATAGGATGAAATGCGCATCCTGGATTCCACTACTAGCCACTATCCATCATTATAGGCTTGATGGGATAATCTGTTTTATGAAACCTTAATGATACCATACATTCTACTAGAATTATTACTTATAGGCATTAAATTACACTGCTTAGACGACTTCATTCGACTGTATTAGATCAACTGTTGATGCTTTAATCTTATTCATAACTGTATCTATAGGCTTTTTAATTTCTTCATATAGTTAGTACTGTTTCGATATGGTCATTGACTTTTTTTTTCTTCAAGTAATCCACTTTATCCATAACACTAATATTGAATTGCCTTGGTCAGATTTGCCAATTACTATACTATTTTTTTCAGATTTCTCGATGTCTATATTTCTTATCTCATTAAATTCTTCCCTTTCTTTTAGTATTTTAACGTCAGTAGACATTATGCACGTATCCTAATCACCAGTTGTTATATCTGTTGAGTTTAATGCTATTTCTATGCTGAGTTATGGTACAGCTTCAGGTTTAATTTGAGCTATTGCTACGTTGAATTTTAGTCCATTCTCTCAAATTTTTACTTCATAAAGCTTAATTCTCTAGTTGGAAGATTAATCATTCACTTTGTTTGATTGGTGATGTCTCATTTGTAGCTGAATTCTTCCCTTCTATTAGTCTCTTAAATTTAAGTCTTTATGGATTTGTTAAAAGCGGTTACTTTGTTTTTATTGGCTACTTCAACCAGAAGTTCATAGTCTCTTTGGTTTGCTATCTTCATTATTGTCTGCATTTCAGTTCGGATACTGTCTAATTTCTTGATAATCCCGTGGAGTTCACCTAGACATAGGTAGCTGGCTTGTTCTATTGCTTTTCTCACTCTGCCTGTTGGAATCGTAGCCCACAGATGGAAATTAAAGGTTTTAAGAAAAGAACACTTCACCAAGACAATGTAAGATGAACCACAAACTTCTTTGTACACATAAATCCGGTTTCAGTCTACGGATTGCTGCTGCTGCTGCTGTTACTTCTGTATAAAAGAGCAATCTACTATCATTTTGTCCACTGATTACCTT